CCCCCCGCCTCCTTGCCTCCCGCTGTCTCCTGGCTCCTGGCTTGCCTGCTTGCCTGGCACTCCTCCCAAGACAAGACCCTGAAAGCGAGGGGCTCCCCTTTTGTCGATCCGTGGGCTAATCCCAACTGCTCGAAACACATTTAAGACACCTGAGCCATTGTCGCCCCCATTTAATCCAAAACATTCTTTAACGAACCCTTCTGCCATCCTGCTGCCTCACGCTCATTCTCAACCTCCAGCCACATTCGACGCCTTTCATTACTCAACGCAGCGTCTGCAGACAGCCCGGCATCATGAAGAAGTTCGGCTTCAGCAAGAAATCCGACGACGGCGACGATTCCAATCGCTCCGCCCTCTTCGGCAGCAAGAAGGGCTCCCCCGCACCCGCCAGCAACCCCTATGCACAGTCGGGCCAGAATGATCCCTACGCCCCGAGCCAGCCCATGACTGGCGCCCAGGCAACCTACAAGCAGTATCAGCAAGCTTCCTACAGCGGAGGGCTGCCCAGCGGTCCGCGCGGAGGTGGCCCTGGTCTTCCGGGAGGACCCCGCGGCGGTCCTGGTGCCCCTCCATTGAACCGCAACGCGAGCAGCGCCTCCAACGAGACAGCCCCTCCCCCGTACAGCGGCGGTGCCGGCTACGGCTCCGACCGATACGGCGCGTCCGGCGGTTACGGCAGCAACAGATACGACAACTCCGGATCCGGATACGGCTCCGATCGAAAGGCACCTAGTGCAGGCTCTCGAGGACCCGGTGGCTACGGTGGACTCGGCCGAGCCGACGGCAATGACGATGATGCCGACCGCGACGCTCTCTTCTCCGGCGCCCGTGAACGACAGGATCAAAGACAGCAACAGCCCGCACAGAGTGGGGGATACGGAGCATCCGGCACCGGCGCCGGGTCCAACTACGGTGGTTATGGTGAGCGCCGTGAGCTCACCGCGGAGGAGCAAGAGGAAGAGGAGGTCGCCGATATCAGAAGGCAAATTAAAGAGACAAAGCTTGCATCGGCAACCTCGGCCGAGAACTCTGAGCGTATCGCCTCTCAGGCTGTGGAGACGGCATTGGGTACCTACGCCAGGTTGGGTGCACAGCACGAGCGTTTGAACTACACCGAAGGTCTCCTCGACAAAGCCAGCACGTCCACGCGCGAGGCTGAAGGACAAACTAAGAAGTTGAAGCACCTGAACCGCAGCATGTTTGCAGTCCACGTCAACAACCCCTTCACATCAGGCAAGAAGACGCGGGACCTCGAGAACCAAATCCTTGAACAGCACCGCAACGACCGAGACCTGCGCGAGGCAACTCGCAAGGCTGGGTGGCAAGCCAACGCCCACATGGAGGCTGGCTTCAAAGAGATCGAGGCCTCCCGTAGCACCGATAAGTGGCAGAAGGCTAGTGGTGCTGAGAAGAGCAAATACGCCTTCGAGGACGACTCGGAGGATGATGAGGCCGAAAACCGCATTGACGATGCCATGGCAAGGACCGCAAACCATGTCGGCACCCTTAACAGCGTGGCCAGGCTGATGCAGAGGGAAATCGACTCTCAGGACCAGCTCATAGGAAGACTCGGCGAAAAGGTATGTCCGCCGCTTTCTGCACCGACGATCAATGCTAATATGGCCACAGAGCGATTCCGTGAACGACCAGGCCAAACTCAACACGGAGAGACTGAAACGTATTCATTAAGTTCCAAGAGACCCTTTTCGGGCCAAGAAGGCAGTGCATTGGTGACGGTTTGGACTTTTCATACACCACGGGCGTTTCATGGGTGGAGGCTCTTGTTTGATACCGCCGAAACACCACTAGATCTGAATAACAGACATTTTGATTTCGGCTTGGCTTCCTGTGCGTAGCAATTGGCTTCTTGAAAACACCACTCGGAGGCTTCGCAGACCATGACATCACAGTGTCGACCCCTTCGTAGTGGCCGGGGGCACTGTGTGACCCACTATGATTCCGTGACATTTGATTTCACCACGAGGACCGTGTTGAACGGCGTAAGTAGATGATACTCAAGACAATCTCTGTGTTAGCCCAACCACGCTGTAACTTGCATCGTACCAGGCCGCCATGAGGCCGTCGTCGAGATTACTAGCCCAGGCAGCGCCCGCTTCAAACAACGGTCTCCGGCCGGCGCTGGCCCTCCTGCCGCCAATCCCGCTGTATCGGCGCCTGTTCCGTGCTCACAGGAAGCACCTCCCGTCCGAGATGCGGCTCCTGGGCGACGAGTACATCAAGGCCGAATTCCGCGCCCACCGCGAGACGGAGAACCCCGCGCACATCGTGAGTAACACTCGTCACATCGCGCCCGTCCGCGACGGCTTGCTCTCGGAATGACGGCTGAGACTAACCCCCCGCGGGAACGTACAGATCGGTTTCTTGACCGAGTGGCAGCTGTACGCGCAGAAAATCGAGGGCGATGCGTGGAAGGGGGAAAAACTTGACCCGGCCAAGATCGAGAAGATGAGCGGTGAGTTTGAACCCCTTTGCGACGTGACCACAGCCGTGGCATGTCGAATTGGAAGGCCCCTTTGGGTCTGTTTTTTATTTTTATTTTTATTTTATTTGTCTTTCCCTTCGTCGCAGACATACTGATACCCATCCAGACCAGCAGATGGGCCAACTATACGAACTCATGCAGGCCATCCGGAAACGCCATGAGGAGGGGGGCAGTGAAGAGTGACGTCTCGGTAGCCAGAGGAGAACCGCATGATGTTTACTGCATGCATAGCCAAGCCGTTGGCTCAGTGTCGTCTGATTAGCGAATGTGGAGTGCGGCTCTTATGAGACCGTACATCTATCCTGCTTCCCGAGAATCGTGCTGGTGTTATCTAGCGTAGCCTTGTAAGCAGACAATGCAGGAAGTGTATAAATAGCAGTCTCATCATACGCTGGTGTATATTAAGACCAAGGCCGGCGTATCATATTAGCCCTGGTCGGTATATACGGAAGGACATCATCGAAATATAATGTGTTCACAGTCGATGTAGGACGTATTGCATATAAAGGAAATTTTCTATTGTTCAATTCTACGGTGGACAATCGCTATGCCAGTATACGCGCTAAGATATCTCTATTGTCCACCCCCTAAAGCCTCCACTATCCAGTCCGCCTGGACAGCGCTTACTTTCTTTGCATAATTCTTCTGCGTAAACACATGTTCCAGGAACATGATGGCTTCCTTTTTCTGTCCATGCAAAACGCTGGATGGGTGGATGGCAACAATGTGTTTCCCCTGAGTGGTGACGTAGCTGCCGTCAGGTGCCAGCAAGGCGCACTTCGTGACAAAGCCCTTCAAGAAGCACTTCAATAGTGTCTCGGCCCGCTCTGGAGAAATGGGCACGAAAGGCTGCGGGTCTGGCTCCGGCTTCTCCGTCAGCAACTTCTCCTTCAGACACAGGCTCCGAAGTTGATTCCGAATATTCAAAGCCTGTCTCATGTTGCGGACATTGACTTTCCGCTTCTTGCACCAGCCAACTCTGTCGGCATGCTCCGCTGTATACTGTTGCATAGTCGTGAGATAGGTGAGGATATCTCCCTCCCGGCGATACAAAGCCTTACGTGCCTCTTCTGTTTCTTCTTGCTGTTCCTCCATTTGCAGTTGATGAAATATACTTTCACCAGCGGTTATACAGGAAATGATATCGATCACTTCCAGCAGGCAGTCGAATTGTGGCTCGGCTGCTGCTAGGAGAACTCTTCCGTAAGGCGCGGTGACGGGAAACAAGGCGACCCTCTTTCCAATACTGGTAATAGTGCCGTTGTCATCCAGTGCCTCCAGGAAGTGGAGCTGCAGGAGCGCCTTCTCTATGGAATCGAGATCAGGAAAGTCCATCAATGGGAACGAGAGTATGTCATTAATCCCACGGGCCTTCATCGTCAATACTGCGCCCAAGACATCAGTCCGCAGAATCTCGGGGAGGTCGACATCCTTCAGCGTGTCATAAGTCTCTGGTGTATAAAGTCTGAAGCATTGACCGGGGCCTTCACGACCAGCTCGACCTGCTCTCTGCAGAGCAGAAGACTTCGAAATTGGTTTTGCTAACAAGGACTCCATGCCCAGCCGAGACCTGTACTGCTTGACCTTGGCTTTGCCACAGTCGACAACGTAACGAGCGCCAGGCACAGTGACGGACGTTTCTGCTATGTTTGTTGCTAGAATCACCTTTCGAGTGAACTTGGTGGGCGGCGGCTGGAACGCAGCTTGCTGTGCCTGAACAGCGAGCTGTCCGTAGAGTGGGCATGTGAGGATCTTCGGAACATCTGATGCCAGTGAGGCCCCGTACTCCTCGATGCGCTTCTGCAGTGCTTCAATCTCCTCCTGGCCGGTGAGAAAGGCCAAAATATCCCCTGGGAGAGCTTCCTGCTCGTGGATTTTGGTGATCTGGTTGAACAATGCTTCTCGTAGATCTGGCACAGGTGCTTGTGTGTGCTTTATGTCAACCGGGTACTGGCGACCCTTTATCCGGAGCACCTCCACTGATGGTTTCGATAGTGTGCCCTCCTCAGCTGCTGCTGGGCTGAAAAATTCCGATATCCTCTCGACGTCAGCTGTCGCACTCATGACAACAACCTTCAGCGGTAGGCCACCACGTCCCGCTTTGTCACCAGTAACGATCTGTCTGAGGAACCCAGAGAGCATATCGACATCCACGCTTCTCTCGTGGATCTCATCGACGATCACTGCACTATACTGCCGCAGATTTGGATCCCGCATCATCTCCTGAAGCAGCATACCCTCCGTCAAGAACTTAATTCTCGTCCCCTTTGGCACATTATGGTCAAAACGAACAGAGTAACCCACCAAGCCCTCGCGCGTTATACCTGATGACCCCAAGGGGGTACCCATCTCCCGTGCCACGCGACTGGCCAGAGTTGTTGCAGCCACTCGACGAGGTTGAGTGATGGCGATAACTCCGCCGACATTGACGGGATCAGACTGCCCCGGCACTGTGACCTTCTTGCGCTGGCACCAGCGTTCCTGGTACAGGAATTGTGGCACCTGGGTACTCTTTCCGGAACCAGTCTCACCAACGACAAGTAAGATGTCGCTATCCTTCAGGTTTGCAGTGATTTGGTCGCGATGCGCCCATATCGGCAGTGCTTTCCGGGCTTTCAGAAGCGGGGTATCAATTTCCTTTCTTCGGTGAGACTGCTGTGACTTCGGTTTGGAAGTCGGCTTTGAAGGAGCCTGAGCATCTTGACCATCCTCTTTATCCTTAGACTTCGGCGTTTCAGCTGGTTCCTTCGGCTGGGGCTTTACTCGTGAAAATCCAAGATCGACCAGCTTGCCGCCAACCATTACGAGATCAGGGTTAGTCGGGGGTTTGATGTCGCCCTTCCTTCGCTTAGCCGGGCGCTCCATTTTGAGGGTTTGACCAAAGCCAGAATTTTCCTCGATGTTTTGAGATGCCGTACTTGATAGACAGATGTTGCATGAAAAATGTAGAAATCTCGGGTGTGAGCAAAGTAACAGCTGGCGGCCAGCCGGCGAATTTGTCATTGGAGCTGATCGAGAAGACCTAGTCAACCAAGGCTTCCATCTCGCAAGATTACAGATGCGACACACATTCCTTGTAAACTTCAATACTCATCTGAGAAGCTATATTCACAAAGCTTCAAACAAAGTATGTTGTAAAAGTGTGCAATAAGCCAATGCGTGGTCAACGTGTAAGTACCAGAAATCCTGCTGGAATTTATGTGTTTCTCGCAAGTTTTACGAGCGCAACAGCTTTGGTCCAGGTAGGCATTCAGTGATATTCATTTGCCTACTCCAACACTGCATTGAATCGCAGCCGACATCTCAAGCCGGTATTGCTGAGGAGTCACTGGCTGTTTCCGGGGGAAATCGGATCACAGCTTCGTCGGGGCAGTGACCAATCTGCATCGTACCAAGCCACACCTTCATGACTACAGGTGGCATTGAACGACACCTCTACGAACACCCTCTGTTTCTTCCCTGAGAGTCTCAACGGTAGCGCCAAGTTCTCTCGCCTTCGTGACGAAGTCATCAAGAGACCCACCAACGCCGAAGTAGAGTTTCTTCGCTGCTGCAAGGACTTCGGCGCTGTTACCTTGAGCTTTCTGATGACTCAAGAGGGAGAAAACGGTGTCGGTGAAAGACTGAAGGGCGAAAGGCGAATAGATTGTTTCGGCACCCAAGACAATCACTCGTTGTCTTGAGCCATTCGCGTTGGCTGGCAGGGCATTCTCAACGAGCTCCACGAACTCCTGACACCATGCGCCAGAAATAAATTCAATGTTGACTTTCCGCTGAGAGAGGAACTCTTGGAATGCCTGGATGACCTCAGGGGTCAGATCCAGTTCCCCATCCTCGGAGGATAGAGCTGCGTCCACAAGTGGCAATTCTGTTCGTTGCTGGAGAGCCCATGATAGTATGAAGTTGGGCAGTGTTACGAGCTGCAGCACAGTGGAGTTGTAGTCTGCCAGGATGATAGTCAAGGGTTTGGCATCCTCTCCTCTGTTGGTGGAAGCGGCCCATTGAAACATTGCCAAAGAGGGCAGTGCAGTGCCGCAACCGAGCTGGGACATGGTGTTAGAAAAGCATTCGCTGGCTAGCTGGCGGTCTACCAGGCAAAGTCTTACCTCGACTACGCAGGGAGCCTCGTCCTGCGAGGACAGGAATGGTTTCGACTGTTCCAAAACCTTGACGAGATCCACACTGCTCTCCCAGCTTTTGAAGCCGCCCTCGTACACTCCAGTCTTGACATCGTGACTGCCCAAGCCGGGCTCAGCCTCGCCACCGTCGTCATCCTCGGCCATGAGTTGGACTCTCACGTCCCAGAGCTCGCGCCGCGGGAGCTGAATCGTCTCGCCACCATCTAACTCGACACCCAGTAGACCAAACGCAATCTTTGAAGGAAGTAGCGAGAGCATCTGCTTGAAATCATGGCGAACTGTTGGCAGCAAAGGCTTGCCAGCGACCGGGAAGGCGCTGCTTGGCGCTGCCGGTGCCTGGGTTGGTTTGCTCGGAATGTTGTTATCCGCCTGGAGCTCCTCGTCTATATCATCCCCGCTGAACGAGAAGGCGAATGACATGGCGGCCAATGATTGCGAATCAACCCAAAGTCTCCTGATAGGTCAGTGTCCGAGTTGCTCTGGCCAATGCGGAGTCCACGCGAGGGAATGCTGCTATGTTCAGGGATTGATTCGCAGGTGGAGCCGAGTAAAAAGGATTGATTATACTACGGCCGATCCTCGGATCTTTATCCAAAGCTTCCAAACGGTCGGGATCCAAAACCTTGGAATACTCTAGATGCCCGGCCAGGGCTTCCAGCATCGCGAACCACTCGCTCCCACCAGGTTCTTCCACCGACAGGGCCTTGGCAGCGTCTTCGGCGATAACAGATGGCAGGTCAGCGCTTGCAGAGAGGCCTATCTCCTGCGCCACGGTGGGACGACAGCTGTCTGGAGCGCTGAAGGAATTAGCATTATGTGGGGTCAGAGCTGGTGTGGTTGGACGGAATACGACTGACGGCTCTCTAAAAGTACTTGCTACCGGCCTAAAATGCTCACACTGCAACCTCTGATTGGCCAAGACCTCGAGTTGGCTGCTCGGGAGGTATTCGCTACCGGGATGATGAGCAGAGTCCTATTCAGATGGAAAGAAGTGCGACACGTGCGAGAAAGCATGCGGTACGTGCAGGTGGTCCGGATTCCGTGATTCGGTTTCGGCTGCCCTCAAATCGGCGGGTGACAAAGGCGCTGGGGTTGTCCTAAACATCCCCTAATTGAGGAGACAATTCCTATCAAGTCTAGGCTCGTTGGTTTCACCGCATCCTTCGACTATTCACGGCCCTATTCAAACTCCTTTGTGGTAGGCTGAGATACGTTCACCAACGCAAGGCGGCATATTCACACCTTTGCACCAACGCTGTGGTTGGTGGCTCACCTTGACAGAGCTTCAGCTCAGCCGCTCCCGTTGCATGAACCCGACCATTCCTGACTATCGATCGCCACTGTTTGACTTAACCGTCGTATAAAGCACCTCCTTCCTGACCTCGAACATGACTTCCGATACACACTGCCAAAATCCTCTACCTCCTTCTGCCAACAAGATGACCCGCCTGAGGCCATCCCAAATCTCAACAAGCCCAGCAAGCAGAGGGCAAGCTACAAATGGCTCAAGTCTCAAGACACCGTACTCTGTCGAGGAGAAGCCTATCGGCTCGGCAAGGCATGTCAGAATTGTGGGGATTGGTGCTGGCGCCAGCGGGATCAATATGATCAGAACGCTCCGGAAGACTCTTACAAATTTCGAGTTGGTAATCTACGAGAAAAATGATGGAGTTGGAGGGACATGGCACGAGAACCAGTACCCTGGTTGCCGATGCGACGTCCCAAGCCACAACTACCAGTTCTCTTGGCGACCGAACCTCGAATGGTCCAACTTCCATGCGCCTGCCGAAGAAATCAAATCTTATCTTTGCCAAATCTGCGACGATGAGAATATGTGGGATACAATCAAGACTCGACATCAAGTCACTGGCGCTTGGTGGGACGAGGCTCGAGGACTCTGGGACTTGAATGTCAAGGATCTCGCAACCGGCTCAGAGTTTCACGATGACGCAAATTTTATCGTGGACGCCTCCGGAATACTCAAGTACGGATTTGCCAACTCGATATGAGCAACATACTGACTGAACCTACAGTAACTGGAAATGGCCTGCCGTGAAAGATATCCAGGCGTTTCGGGGAAACCTAATCCATACTGCCAGCTGGCCAAAGGGGTTCGACTGCTCTGGCAAACGTGTGGCGGTTATTGGCAATGGTGCCACCGGCGTCCAAATCGTGCCGGCAATACAGCCAGGTAAGGACCGTGTTGCCCCTTCAATATTTGAAGTGCGTTGCTCTGACAGGGGGACAGGCGCAAAAAAGCTCTACCACATATTCCGCACGCCCACCTGGGTTGTCCCTCCAAGACTGATGTCCATGAAGTTGATGGGAAGCCCAGCCTGGGAGATACTGAAAGGAATAGAGATGGACGCGAACGAAGATTTCAGTGCACCACAGATCGAGAAGTTCAAGGCGGATCCAGATCTCTACAATACGTTCGTCAAGGCTGTAGAGAAGGACATCAACGGCGCCTTTCCCGTCGTAGGTGCAAGACGACTGTATCATCCGATAGATGTCGATGACTAATATCCTTTACAGGTTCTCAATGGCAGTCCTGTACAAGCGTTTGCACAACAGAAGGTTGTCCAGTATATGACAGCAATGCTCGGCGGAGATGAGAAGCTATGCAAAGCCTTGATACCCACGTTCCCCCTAGGCACACGAAGAATGACCCCGGCACCGGGATATCTTGAGTGTCTTCGGACGGGCAATGTCGAGGTTATCACGGGACAAATTGCGAGATTCGTGCCCGAAGGCATCCAGCTGGAATCCGGCGAGATCATCCTGCTAGATGTCATCATATGTGCCACAGGGTTTGACAACTCTTTCTGTCCGCGTTTTCCGATAGTCGGCAGAAACGGCAATGTCCAGGACAGGATGAAGTTCGAGACGCCGAAAAGCTACATGTCGTGTGCGTTGCCCGGCGTACCAAACTATTTCAGTGAGTTCTCCAAATGCGATCTGCAAGGCAGACAATTGACCATCGTGAAGCCTTTCTCGGGCCCAACGCGCCCATTGGCCACGGCAGTGTCTTCACACTGAGTGAGCATATTGCGAGGTATATCGCTAGCATCATCCGCAAATGCCAGACGGAGGGAATCAGAGCCATCGCACCGTCAGAGGCTGCCGTGAACGACTACAGCGAGCACATCAATACCTTCATGCCACGGACCGCATGGGGCTCGTCGGGCCGTTCCTGGTTCAAGGGCGGGAAGGAGGACGGGCCTGTCACTGCACTGCACCCTGGCAGCCGTATACACTTCTTCCACATGCTCGAGCACTTCAGGGGCGAGGACTGGGATTACACATACGAACAGGCTTCTCAGAACCGTTTCGCCTACCTAGGGAACGGGTTCTCGACCAAGGAACTGGATCCTACTTTTGACTCAACTTGGTACCTCGACGACGCGGCATGCAAATTGTGATAGAACTGCACCGGTATGTAATAAGGTCTCACGAGGCGAATGGCGTTGGGCGGTCCAGCAGTCACAGGTTTGGATCTTCTAGTCCTTAGAGCAATAGTCATCATGGAACAATACGCTTTTCGACGCCATAAAGGCGCAATAATAGTCTCCGGCCCAGTTCGGTACCATGCGAGTACTGTAAGCGATGTGCCTACGCCAAATCTGGCTATCCAGCTTTGCCAGGCCTGAGCTGAGATCACGGGAGGCATACTAGGCCTTCTATTGTGAAACAGTCTGACGACATTGGATTGGCTTCTGCTAGTCATTGCCGTATCAATTAGCCAGGGCTTATTGGTTGGTGGCGGCGCTGCACCGTCAAGAACGAAATCCTGTCTTGAGCAGTCCGAAGTTTAATAAGTCAGTTAACTACGGGTTTATCATGTACCAAAGACTCACCGTTTGTAGTTCGCCGCTGGATCTCACCAAAGTGAGCGCACCAACACATGAGTCAACCGTGGATACACATCGAGTAGCTTGAGTCGCTGCGTGACGTAGGTGTAACACATATGCGCTGGGGGGAAGCACTGCTTTTCCGCGACATCATGGGAGGCCCTGGTCAAAGATCGCATACAAGAATATCTGGGGTAAGCAACATGTGTGCAGTAGCCGCACAGGGCCGATTGACCACTCAGACGCCTGTCGCAATGTCCGGACGCGTCCAATGCAGGAACTGGCTTCTACGAAATTGCGACAGCCCCGCCAGGTTGCATTAAGTTGCAGCCCAGCCGCCAACGTCGTCGCCCTTGGGAGCGATCCTACAGACACTCATTAAACGGACGACACGCGGCAGGGGAGAAAAAGAGAGAGAGCAGGGCGTTGCGCCCGAGGAGTCTTGACTCTCGAGAGGCGGCGTAGGAAGGGGTTCAACAGTCGTATGGCACTTCTCCCAAGGCTACTTCGGACGAATCGCATTTGTCATTGGCATCTCCATGCCCAAGCCAGACAACAGAGTCAGCTCCAGTCGATATTCAGCTCATGGGTTCCCCAGCCTGCGAGATCCAGATGGGGGTCGAGGCCTAGTCGAACAATGCCAACACGAGGCAGTAAGAGGCGCATGCGCTGCAGGGAGCACACCATCTCACCGGCGATTCACGTATGATTGGTTGTCGCCGAGCAATTGACGTGAGGGCCTTTCGAGCCCGTTCTAGCCCTAGATTCCTTTTTCTCAGCTGGTTCAACGTGGGCGCGACGCTGGAGATTCGAAGCTGCAGACGTCAGAGCCCCGAGACTCTGGGAGGCCAGCAGAACGCATGATGCGAGATGCGAGGTGCGACACCAACCCTTGGGCCGTGTAAGGGAATGTACTGCAAACCCATCCTGGGCGCGAGAGTGACATCCAGGACGGAGCGCAGAGGGTGACAGAGACGTCCCAGCTGGGCAAGGCGGCCGGGCGGCCCTGGCAGGTAGATTGCCAAGCAATTTCGAACCCTGGGCCTTGACAAGAGAGCCAACGGGCGGGTGGTCAAGTCAGCCAATCTAGGCCCGAAGCTGGTGGGCAATGCTGGTTAATTGCAAGATTTCAGGAGAGAAAAGGGCAGCCCCCCCGTCTCTTGGGAGCACCCACCAAGGCCCGTGGCCCAGCAGGTGAGCCAAGGTCTAACCGGACTAGATCAAATAGCCAGAAATTTAAACCTTGCCTAGTGGAGAGGGAGCTGGTGCGGTACGTACCGTACACAGCACAGGGACTTCCATACGAGCGGGCAGGCGGGTACCTCGGCGGCGTGGGAGGTATGTGAGGGTACATCCTGGGCGATGGGAGGCGGCTTGTTGTGATGTCCCCATGCGCGAAGGCACCAATGCAGAGGGCTCATTTCCTGAATCGTCTCTTATGAGCGCCCTGGCGCCGGCACGGCATCTCTTGAGTCCTTCTTCCTCTTTTCTTCACCACGTTGCCCAACTGCTCCCCACGGTCCTTCATCAGTCTCCACGGCTTCACTGTTCTCTACATCCTTCTAATACAATACCCCACAGCTGGTAAGTCGACCGAGTTTCCCTTCCCGAGCCTGCCACCAGCAGGCACAAAGTCACGATGCTTGGCCCTGGGTCTGCTGCCTGCGGGATCCCCAATGGCGGCTTTGCCGCAGTCCTGCTTCTCGTACTGGCTGCTCCCGGCTGCTCTGGGCTGGCCCGATCAGATCAGGCTTCTGGTCCACGTCGCACCATGGCGATCCGGCTTCTCTAATTATAAGTCGCGGACTCCCTCGCCATGGCGCCCTGCCTACGCTTTGAACGAAGCCTCTGCCCGTCCCAACTGTGTGTTCCGTCCGTACCGATCACTGACCGCGCAACCTGGGTTTAGCTTCTTCTCGTCTCTCATTCACCCCATTTCCAAACCAAATCAATCACAATGAAGTCTGCTATCGCCTCGATTGCCTTCGCCGTCCTTGCCGGACTGGCCAGCGCCAAAGTTGCCTTCACCAACAGCAACTACAACGTTGAGGCTGGCAAGCCCTTCACCCTGGAGTGGGATGGCGGCAAGGGTCCTTACACCATCAACCTGAAGGACGGCCCCTCGGACGACCTCAAGACCGTCCAGGCCCTCGCCAGTACGTCTTTCGCTGTGTTCCCAGGCCCCTCATTGATGCTAACGTCCTGACAGCCGGCACCACCGACGATTCTCTGACCGTCACCCTTTCCTCGTCCCTCGTCAGCGGCAACTATGCCTTCGAGATCGTTGACTCGTCTGATGACACCACCAACTACAGCTCCCAGTTCCCTATTGTTGGAACTGGCTCCAGCTCTACCGCCGCGAGCAGCTCCAAGGCTTCTTCCACCGCCGCCACCAGCACCAAGGCCTCATCCACCCTGACCACCACCACCACCAGTGGCTCCTCGTCCGCCTCTGCCAGCAGCACCGAGGACTCGTCGTCCTCTTCGACCAAGGCCAGCTCCAGTAAGTGGTCCCCTTGCCGATCGCGAAGGGCAGACCCCGTTCTAACTACGCACCAGCCACCTCCAGCAACGCCAGCAAGACTACCTCGGCTTCTGCTTCTTCCAGCACTGCTCCTAACACCAACGGTGCTCAGAGCTTCGCTGCCCCCCTGGTGCTTGCCGCCGCCGGTCTTGCCCTCGCTTTCTAATTCTGAAAAGAGTGAAAGGAGGAGGACCAGCTGCTGGACATTTTGGTAGTTTCTGAGTAAATACGTTTTGATAATCTCGTATCCTGACTAATGTGTTAATCGCGTCGCACGAGTTCGCTGGGGTGGAGCGGAATGACCAGCGGTGGTCGAACAGGCAAAACTTGGAAGATTCGAATTGTGTTGCTGGAATCGTGTCGCGTAGGCGTGCGCAACACTGATGCATGTATATAAACATCAATACAACGGTCTTACTGCATAGGCATAGCCGGCTTCCGGACGCGTGACCAGGGCTCTACGGATGGTGCAAATGTCCCTGTGTCGTCGTCGTTCGAACGATGATCTCTGCCCATCGCACTATACTCCAAGAGACGAGCACGAATCGAGGTGGTATAGACTGCGCCAAGAGGAGTATTCCCCCCTCACGGCTACCAGCAGTAGCTCGCGCCTGGCAAAGTTATTCCCGGCTCCATTCGTGTCATGATGCGCGACCATTGTCAGCTGACTTATCCAGTCGTGCAGTCACTCTGGGTTTGACGGGTAGCTGCAGAACATCAACCGGCCTTGTAGGCCTGCCATAGCTGCTTACATGAAGAGCCGACGAACTTCGCTTATCACAGTACACAAGCTCTCCAGCCACACTACCCGGACGGCAGCTTGCCCGTTTCAAGACCGAGCTGCAGATCGATTTGGTAACTTATCAAATTCGGGCATGATGCGTAAGCATTGTCCACGGTAGGAAAGGCTGGGGATTTCATGCGTCTGATGGCGGTTGGTGCCAGTATAACAAGTTAGAGATCTACACCTCGGGCTGGTCCTTGCCGGTCCTCATACTCGAAAGGAGGTTATTCAGCGGAGCGCGAGCCGTCAAGGGGTTGGCATACGCAATCCCGCCGACGTCCATTACAATCTAGCAGCAATAGCGCGCCGTATAAATGAGAATCATTTCACTAGTCTGCTGTACCTCAAAGCCGTGCAAGCTGCGGACATGGTACACACAGTCGTTATGGTATTGTACAACTTTTACGTGCTTCTATGACGACGTGCCCTCCGGCACCTACGACGCCTTGGATCATAGCCAGTCTGTGGACACAGCCGCGTCTCCCTCGAGCTCGAGCGCCCTTCGCAAAGCCGTCAACCTACCTGCCCTATCCTCCTGTGCCGTGCCGCCTTCCGCGTCGCACTCAAGCTCGGCTGTCCTCAGGTTAGCTCGTTCTCCTCTTCCTCGATCGCAGGGAGCGGTGCACAGCATAGAAGAGGACAAGATATGCTCACCCTTGAGATAGCCAGCCTGGAAATCATGCCATCCCAGGAAGAACATGGCCCAGTACCGCCGCGGCACGTTGCGCATGAGGACCCGGGCGAACCGGCGGAAGTGCTCGCGCGCGAGGTCGCCCCCCTCGCCCGCATCGACGATCTGCACCATGCGGTCGAGCACGCAGCGGTATACGGCGCCGGCGTGGGCGCGGAAGCGCGCTGGATGTTCGGGCGCCGGGCGTCAGCTTTGTTTCTTCCATCAATCGAGGGAGATGCGTTGTGCGGTGCACGACGATCATGGATATAACAGCGGGAGAAAAAAAAAATAGAAAAAAAAAAAAAGAAGAAGGAAAGAAAAAGGGGGCACGCACAGTAGTTCTCCCCACGTTCTTGGAACACGGCCCACCACTTGTTGGCGAGCTCGCGCAGCGCCGCCTCGCATGTGTCGGCCTCGGGTCGCAGCAGCGCCTCGAGGTCAGCCAGGGCTGCGGCCTTGTGCTGCTCGAGGATCGAGTCCTGCTCGCTTTGTGTGAAAGGCATGGTTCGCGTACTACGTGCTCGTCCCCTGTGGGATGGCTCTTGTCAGCCCGTTTCCATGCATGAAAGCACCTAACGAGACTGGCGCCTGTGAGAAGCGCTGATGGAAGAAAAAGGAGGTAGGGGCAGGCTTCAGTATCTTATAACAAAGGCCTAGTCATGCTGGGAGGTTTATGTTAGAAGTAGGACGTAGATAGTGGGACCGTACTTGTGATGTGAGCTATTTGCTTAAGGATGTTTGCTTGCTACCTATTCATTAATCAGTATATTCGTGAACGATAGACTGCCCGGCCACAAGCATGGTGATGTTGGGTATGCAGCGTTCGGTGTCGTAATATTTAAAAGCCTCTATCGCCAGAGGGTAGAGCGGCACATCCAAAAGCATCGAGGCACATTAAGTGATTGCAAGGCTCCTCATGTTTTCGCTTTGGTGGTTATTTGTGCCCTGAGATATTTACCTGATCTCAATTAGCCACGTGAATTCGTGAGAAGATGGGAAAGAGGTTGGAAGTGCCAGCGGCGGAGCATAGGCTTTGTGAGAATCGCGGCCCAACAGAACCGCCCTGTGGATGGGAAAGGGGGAGGTAGTATATGATTCCCGGTACCGGACCTTTTCAGAGTGTTGCTATCTTCGCTTTCAAGTATTTACCAAGCAAAGAAGGACATGCTACTCTCCGAAATCGGATTTCTATGTATATGTACTTTGTGAGAGATTCATCAGTTTCGTTCACAGCCTGTCGTGGTAACTTGTGAGTCGGAAGTTACTGTGAAAGCGTAAACTAGAGTTGATTCTGTGCGTGTCGTTTCCAATCACTACATGTCTATCGAAACCACGGAACTTGTATTCATCAACTGTTGGAATCAAGTCTAGGGTTATGGCAAGTCACGCCTGGTCATGCCCTGTTCACACGTTGTTGAATAGTGCATAGTTGATTACGCAACTTTGTAGTAGTTGGTAGAACAGGGACCCAGTTAAATGTGTGGCATCTGCAGCCGTAATTCACACGCCAATCAAGCATTCACGGTCGATGTCAGACCATTGAAAGCACTCTTCTCTACGTTGCCAAGTCCGACCCGAACGGCAAGAGCTGACGACTGACTGATTTCCTTACAACAGACACCACGCTTGCCCACCTGGGTAGCCCTGGACAACTGTTTACCCACGTTTGCTGGCTCTTTGATGGTTGTGTTAGGCGACTTGTTCACGCCTAGAACCGAAAAGGAGGAATAAATATACACTTGTTGGAATTTTGAAGGCCCCCTCGATCTATGCGTGGGCAGATAACCTCTACTATGGTATGATATGCTATACAGTGAACTCGCCACATCCGCTCGTACAAAATGACCCCCTCGTATGCTGACACCCCTATGTATGACGACCCCCGACGCCGAGCAATGCAAATGATGGTCCGGGTATCTAATCCAATGCACCGTCCCTAGATTATTAAAGTTTGGCTTTAACAGCCTGTGGCTTTCCCTCCTCGGACACGACCACAACCACGACACAGATGTCGTCTACCTTGCCACCATGCCAGTCCTCCTGTGGGTAGTACTTTTGTACCTCCTTGGCAAAGGGCCCGTCGATCCTCTGGTTGAGACTCAAGGCCTTGGCAGTCAGTGCAATCTCGAGGGCAATTGCGCCCTGGAGAGTCATGGGACGCTGGGCCGAGTCGTCGGCCTGTGTGAACGGTGCCAGGTTGTCGATGACACGAATTCCTCCGTCTGACGATTTCCAGGCACCACAACTGGTCATGATGCGGCTCGCAATCTTCAAGATATCTTGGTTGAAAACGTTGTCCCACAGCCCATCGCTGGCAAAGACCAGAATATCGCCATGCTTGAGGTTGTGTGTGGTAACATCGGCGTCCTTGGGATAGTCGCATAGTTGAGCGCCGCCGAAAGCTGCGGCGCGGGCCAGCATGCTCTCCGGGACGACGGAGAGTTGATAGGGCGTGTTGAAGGCGTGGGTCTGTGGTTCGGTGTAACTGTTGACGGCGTTCAGGCGCAGCTGGATGAAGCCGGAATCGCCCAAGTTTGCGATCTCGAGTTTGCCATCCTCAGACGCAATGGCCACACAGGCGGTGCTCCCCCCGGCAGGTATGCTCTTGTCGCTGCAAACATCGTCGTAACCCTTCTGCATCAGCGCCCTGGCCTTCAGCAGGGGGCTGACGCCGGGCTTGTGCTCGTAGGCGGCCAGGGCCATGTAGTCGCAGAAGCTGTGGGAGAAGTCGGCAGGATCGACGCCACTCTCCTCCCATCCGCCAACACCATCTGCCACGCCGAGGGCAACGGCGTTGGTGTCGCCGACGCGAGCTATGAAGAAGGCATCCTGACCGCTGGCGGGCCGTTTCGACTTGGGGCGCTTGATCTGTGGCTGGATGCGGTTATACGGGTTGAAGTGGAACAGGTCGGAGTTCGGGTTGAGGCGCTTGTGCTTGCTCGCATAGGAGGCAGCGGCATGATAGGTGAACTTGCGCGCGGGCGGTGGTTGTGTGTCTTGCGACGGCATATCAGCGTGCGCTGCTGAGAATGCCCGGGTGTGATGTAATGATGATGATGGCGGCGCGGCGGGACGGAACAGGGCCAGGAACGGGCGGTACGAGACTACTGGATCAGGGCCAGTCAGCATGGCAGACGCCCGGTGGGCAGGAGGCAATACGTACGCTGGTCAGACAGCCTCTTCCGGGGCAGTACAAGCCGCGGGAGTGTTGTGGCCATTGCTGGGGACGACGATGTTCGGATGGGGATAACGGAGACCCCAAGGACTGATCATCTAGGCATATTGCAGGAGACGGCGCGTTAGGGGAGAGAGGCTGGTGCGAGACGATGCGGTAGCTTTGCGCAAAGGATCTCCTGGCCAGCTAAGGATCAATTGGCAGATGTGTCGACGCAGAAGGGTGATGTGTATGTACTCAGGGATGGAAAAGGGACAGAAAAAAAAAGTTACGTAGAGCTAAGCTGTACTTGCAGAACTGCGCAGTACGGTAGAGTCAGTACCGCACAGTCGGTACCTGGTGAGAGTTGCAGTGCAGCACAGCTCTCAGCACCAGGTCCATACAACAGGGGAGCGCGCTATCTTATCGCACCCACTAGCAACTGCAGTCAGTGGCTGTACGGGACCATGTACTGTACGTAATAGCCCTTTGGATTCCTCTTTTTTTTTTCCCTGTTTTTACTGGGCATGGTTGGTTACCATAGCACATTTGACATGGCTGCCTCCCCCGATTTCTGGGCCTTCTGGCTTGTCGCGGTCGTGTCCAATTTTCCCGCGACCTACCTATGGTACCCGACTTACACTGGACTGGACCCGGTGCTTTCCGACAGGGACCCATTTCGTCCAGTTCCCGGGCGAGGTGCACCTCGTAGTGGCTGGGGACGGGGGCGCCCACTGGGGGGGTGGCCTGCGTGGATCGGGGCCAAGTAGCACACTGAGGGCGGCCGACCGCCCGCCAGCTGAGCGGCAACTGGTCGCGTGCATTAGTGGACCGGGTATGGGCTGCTTAGGAAGAGGCGGGCGCTGATTGGCCGGCCGCATTACCGAGGACCAGCACAACCCCCGTGCGCCTTGGTGCCGTTCGGGTCGGATCCTGGGCGGACAGACGCCTCCAGAGTCGATGATGATTTCGACATCTGAACATCCTCACTCCCAATTGCCACCACCCTCAGGAGTCGGCCTAGAACGAACCTTATCGGGGCATCTGGTTCTGCTTGCCTGAGCTGCTGGACTCGCTCTCATCCTGATACATCTCTCCGGTTCCCTCGCCTGCAACACCCTCTGCCCAGCGTCCCCGGGAAAAAAAGAGGCTCGTCGATAATAGACGCTTGATCGCCCGCAATGGCAGCTCTCCGCTCTTCCTCGTCGCGGCTCCTCGCCGCCGCCGCCCGCCCGGCCTTCAAGCCCCAGGCCGTCTTCGCGCGCTCCATGGCCTCGGTCGGCGATGCCACCGTCAACGCCAACCCCAAGGGCGCCTCCGACTCCCGCATGAAGTCCTTCCAGATCTACCGCTGGAACCCCGACGCGCCCACCGAGAAGCCCCGGATGCAGACCTACACCCTCGACCTCAACAAGACCGGCCCCATGGTGCTCGACGCCCTCGTCCGCATCAAGAACGAGATCGACCCCACCCTGACCTTCCGCCGAAGCTGCCGTGAGGGCATCTGCGGCAGCTGCGCCATGAACATCAACGGCACCAACACCCTCGCCTGCCTCTGCCGCATCCCCACCGAGACCGACAAGGAGATGAAGATCTATCCTCTGCCGCACACCTACGTCGTCAAGGACCTCGTGCCCGACTTGACCCAGTTCTACAAGCAGTACAAGTCCATCAAGCCCTACCTGCAGAGGGACACTCCCGCGCCCGACGTATGTTATGTTTTTTTCTCTTCCCTGCCCTTCGGCTTCTATATTGGCGTAGTCGCACCGGTATACTAACTTCCCTCGCAGGGCAAGGAATACCGCCAGAGCAAGGCAGACCGCAAGAAGCTCGACGGTCTCTACGAATGTATCCTGTGCGCCTGCTGCTCGACCTCGTGCCCCTCGTACTGGTGGAACTCGGAGGAGTACCTCGGCCCTGCCATCCTCCTCCAGTCCTACCGCTGGCTGATCGACTCGCGTGACGAGCGCAAGTCCGAGCGCAAGGCTGCCCTTGACAACTCCATGAGCCTGTACCGATGCCACACCATCCTGAACTGCACGAGGACCTGCCCCAAGGGTCTGAACCCTGGTCTGGCCATTGCCGAGATCAAGAAGGAGATGGCCTTCTAAGCAGGGTTAATACTTGGTGGTGAGCAGCAGGAAAATGGGTGAGATTAGGCGTGGGGTGATGCGGGTCGGATGGGAGGGAGTCAGAAGAGAGACCAACTGTACAAATTTCTACGAGTTACGGTTTGCCCCTGGAATTATGTCCAGGATGGCTGTACGTCAGTCGCCGTGTTCCTTTGTTTGAGCATGGTTGGAGTTCTATGTCACAATTAAGTAAGAACTATTCCAAGTTGAGGGCTTCAATTTCGGTACATGTGATCTGCTGAGAGTGTGTGTGTGTTGATGAGCAAGTGAAAGAGCGAACATCGGCCGGTCTGCTTTCGGCGATCAAAGCACAGAAACCCCCCAAATCCAGTGGAAACCCCTTTCTTGTCGACCACGACGATTTGACTTTTTGATCTTTACTCAAATATCCACCAGCTTTTCAACCTCCTCGACCTCCAAGGCCTGATGCGCCTGCTTCTCCTTCTCTTTCGTGTGCCGGTCGAGCTGCGCCTGTACGACCTCCAAGGCCCGCTGGTCCTCGAGCTCCGCCTCCTGCAGCCGTCTCTCCAGCGTCTGCTCGCCGACGTAGTACTCGGATCCGTCGTCACTCGCCCCCTCGGGCTCCGGCTCCGCTTGCGCCACGTGCTTCTCGCGCTTCAGGCGGCCACGGTCCTTGTCCTTCCCCTTCGCCCTCTGCTGCTCTTCTCCGCCCCTTTCTCCGTCCCGGTCCCGGTCCCGGTCCCGTAGCTCGCCCTGTCGCGCGGCCTTGACCCGCGCCTCGAACAGCATCTCCAGCCGCTCGCGGATCTCGATCAGGTCCTCCTCCGTGACCGACATGCCGTGGAAGCGGCCGTGGCCAGTGCCCAGGGCTAGCCCGGGGTTGCTTGTGGTGTTGATCACGGTGGTGGCACCGGCGCCGGGGGGCCAGTAGCCGCTGCCCGCGAGCGAGAACTCGACGCCGGCCTTGTACCAGACGGGGAAGTCGGCGAGGCCAACCTCGCGCAGACCCGCGCGCGACGCCGGCATCTCGTGCTGGTACTTGCACACGGGACCCCACTTGCACTTGCCGTGGTGGCACCAGTGCCGGCAGAATATGCTCGACGTGCCGTTGTTGTGGGTGCCCTTGCCGCCCGGACCGGAGGAGGGGGCGGCTGCAGCGGCGTTTCTGGTGTCGATCGCGCCTGCACTGCCACAGTAGCGATGCTGGCCAGAACGGTACGAAGGCGCCATTGTGGCGGCCTCGTCAGTGTGGGCTGGGAAGCTCGACAACAGTCTCGAGGCCGGGTGCGAGGGCGGGGAAATAGGGCCACTGGGGACGCCGTAATGATGATGAGGAGCAGCATAGAGATGTGCAGGGGTTGAGGGACCAGGGCGAGGCGAAGAGGGAAAGCGAGAACGAGTGGTGGTCAGATGCTGGCTGCTGTCGCGGCCATCGAGGGGAGAAGACGTCGTCTCCTTCCCGGAGGTGACGGCATTGCCATTCTGGCTTCTCTTGGTGGTGCTGGTGGTCTTGCCTCGTACAGGAGGATCCATTTGGTTCGCCTTTTCTTCGATGCTGTCCCCTGATGCCTTGGAAGACGAGGACGAGGGCGGGCGGAAGGGTCGGCCGCTGTCGTCACCACTGCCGTTGCTGCTGGGGGTGCTGGGCACACTGGGCGGCGTACAGTCCCTATTCTTGCGGTGTCGACCGACTTTGCTGCTGCTCGGGTCCAGAGTATTGTTCGACTTTGTGCTCGTAGCCTTGGTGGTAGAAGTACGCTGCAGATTGAAATCCCCGTGCGTCGTAATGGTACTCGAAGTTGAGCCGGGATGCTGGCACTCACGCCGCCCCTGGTGCTGGACGCCCGACGAGCTCCCGATAGTAGACATGGTTGGGGCAGCGGTGGCAATAGAGGTCATGATTTCCCGGGTGATATGAACTTCATAGCAATCAAAGTCCTTGTGGTACTCGCCCAGGTTCCGCAGGCCACGCATCTGGTCCACGCCCAGCTCACGCGGCACCGACACCACCTCGAGCCAAGTTGGTAGCTGATCCACAGGAATAAGGGGCACCATGGGACCTTTGATGGTTACGGTACCCGACGCCGTGTGCTTCGTGATATCTGGGCGCACGATGAAGTACTGCGGTAGAGACTCCTCGAACGGGAAAGAGGCTGGTGAATCCGGCTTGGAGACATTGCGCTCTCGGCCTGCTCTGGTGTAGCTGTAGCTGGGCATTATGACGGCTGGGGGGCAAGCCGCCTGCTGCTCTCAGCCCTCGAATATCCGTGGGATCAAAGGGCAAGCAGAAGAATTGGAAAATCCTCAGAATCAGGACAGAGAAGTGACTATTACCCAGTATTCGAGTCGAATGGCGCAGTGACTCCAGAGTTTCGTGATCAAGGCAACAAAAATATCATGGGATTCCACCGTTGGGAAAGTGTATCCAGTCTCCGCAAAGCTCGGCACGGGGACCTCGTCAAATCTATGTACGTCTCTTCTCTAGCCCATTGCGTTTTGTGATCGTTTGGGTGCTCTGCACCCCTGCTCCACTCTCGTGACCTCTTCAGTTTGCATGTCTCGCATTATTGGCACTGAAGCCGCTTGCCTAGCAAATGAAGTGCTACTATCCCGTTTGCAACCACTGCTTGTCGATTGGATTTGTCAAATGGCGGTGGACTAACGAAGAAACACACTAGTGAGGCCTGCTTTCTCGCTGGTCGTTTTTGTTCTTCAGGCAGCAAAGCAAGTCGGATCGATGATGTCGACTCCGGATGGAGAGAGGAAGTGGTCAGGCCCGTGAGGTTTGTAAGTGGCAAGCACAGGTATTCTATAATGCGTCCTTTCGTATCTCCACACGAACTTTGGCTTCTAGCCCATCGACGCAGAAGCCTAGCTGCCGTGGCCCGTCCTGCAGCTCAGCCTCCCGCTTGACCCATCTTCCAGCCCTTTTCCCGGACTGCGAGGTTGCATCTGGTGTGTCAGTGTCGGGTTCTCGCAGGTCCTCCTCGTCGCTGCTGTCTTCCACCTCGTCGTCAAATCCTGCTACTGGGTCCCATTCGCCGGTTTCCCATATCAAGCGCAAACTGAGTGGGTCTTGCGCGAACAGCTTGCCAGCTATACCTTTGACTCTGTAGATATCAAAGCTTTTGGGGATTCTCGCCGTCTTTTCGAGTAATTCTCCACCGTCCGTGGGATGAAACGCAAACTGAACAGCCACCAATCTGGCCTCCAGGAATGCCGGGTTGATTTCCTTCGTGCGGTTTACCACTGGTGGCCCATATAGTTCAACCAATTCTTCATAACGCTTGTGGTTTTGGATCACCTCGGCCTCCTCACTCTTAGGTACTGCCGCCAAATGCTTTCCAATCCGTGCCAGGTAAAACATCTCTGCATCTTGCCGGTCGTTGTTTGTGATGGTGCCAAAATTCAGAACTTTGAGCCCGGCCAGACGCCCAACAGTTATCATGTATGCTTCCTCTGTGATTGTCTTGGACTGTGCGGAGTGGTCCGGATCTGGGTTATCGTAAACAGGGTTGTGTGTGAATCGCAAATGCGTGAGGCCCGGAAAAGAGTCCGGCAGACCATCGACGAAAGACCAAGATGAAACCTTGTTGTATGATATGTCCAGGTACTGTAAGCTCGAGGGAAAGACTGGTGGGTTTCCCGAGCTGTCAGAAGTTATGGAGCAGATATTATTTCCTTTCAGATGTAAATTCCGTAGTGCCTTCAACCCCGAGAGGCTTCTAATGTCCGAGAACGCTATGAACTCATTGAATTCGAGGTTTAAAGACAGCAGTGTTGACGACAGAGAGAGCAATGGCGTTACAGGCAAGGACGACAACTGATTGGCATCAGCGGACAATGTTGCCAATGCGGGAAATTTGGATGCCACATGGCATAATTCTTCCCAGCTCAGAAGGGTTTCTTCAAGTCCGAGATCGCGGACGTCCTTGAAAACTGATGGGGCGTTCTCAAGCCCATCATCTTGAAGGATGCGCTGGAAACGGTTTCCACTATGTTATGTTAGCTCCCTAAGAAGGATTATTGCCTGACCTTGGGGATTATCTTACTTCAGCCGTAAGTTACGCAGCTCCGGCAGTTCGGAACATATCTGCACAACAATTCCGAGTTTTGTGAACAGGTTTCGACTGAGCTCGAGCTGGATGACCTTGGGGCAGGTTTGAGCAATTGGCTCATCGCCCTCGGCGTAAGGAAAAGCGACGCGGGAGCCGTCCAGGATGACGAACTTCAGCTCCGCCAATTCCGCCTGCTTGCGCCGGATCTTTTCAAACCCAACCTCCTCTGCGATCTTGCCAGAAAACCTGATGTGGGCGCTGGCTGCCGATACGTCGCCGGTGTACTTGTCCCGCAGAGCTGCGATGAAGCTCCGCGCGGGCTCCGCGGTGCGGCTAGGCCTCACGAACGACGCAGCGGTGGGTGATTTCGATTTACCTGCTGCTTGTCAATTACAAACGCGTCGGGGCGGTTTACTGTTCACTCACATGAAAAGTAGCGCGTCCCTTTGTGAGAGCCATCATGTTTCCCTCGTGTCGCGTCGTCCCATTCCACGCCGATCCACGACCCCGAAGTGCCGGCAACCTCTCCGACATAGCGGACGGTGCAGATGGCCCCATCGTAGGACCGACGTTCGCCGATCTCTATGTCCGTCATGGTGTCGCTATCTTGCAAGATTCGGGTCCATGCCACGTTTTTTGACGGCGTGCTTGGTCCTGTTTTGAGGACGTTTGGTGGTAAAGAGGTTTTCGGCGCACTACGTGCATCAGGCACCCGAAATTTCGGGGACAGGCTTTACATTGAGCGTGGATCGTTTGGTGACACAGCAGGCCAGGCTCTCCCAAAACGCACGGTTTTTGACAGAGCGGTTTGAAAAACAACGCACATAGCTTCGCATTGAATGAAGGGCGTAATTTACAGAACTAGGCAACGCTTGCTACGTAATCGCGATCATGGCTCACAACTTGGACTTGGCTTCACCGACAACCTTCATCAATGCCCGCCCATTGCTCAGACACACCTTACCACCCTCAACGCTGGTAGCGAACCTGATCTCTTCCCAGCCGTCCTTGATCTCGCCCGTCTTCCAAACTTGTGTTACAAGCTTGTCGCCAGGCTTTACAGGGCTTGCGAACCGCGCCTGGAATTCCTTGATGTTCTTGGGGTCGCTTCCACCAAGCTTTTGCAACAAACCATGAGCAGTGGAGTTGAATGAGTAAAGACCGTGGATGATAGTGCCTCCGAAGCCCATCTTCTTGCCGGGCTCTGGGTGGGCGTGCAGCGGGTTGTAGTCGCCATTCAGTCTGTACAACAGAGCAGTCTCCTGCGTGGTCTGGTCCTCAAAAACGACATCGGGTTGCTTGCCCTTTGGCGGAGGAAAGTTTTCGGTCGCAGGGCCCTTGGGACCTCCCCAGTTGCCCTGCGCAACGAAGAACGCGCTGCCAATTGCCCTCGAGTAGATCTCGCCACTGCCCACATCCACCAGGTCGGTCTGTGTCTCGACCACAGAGCCTGGCCGGCCCTTGTCATAGACACCAACGACCTTGGTACGGATCTCGAACTTCTTGCCGGCTGAGGTCGGGGGGAGGGGCTTCAGAAATTGGACTAGTCGCTGGCCGTCCACAACTCTGCGGGAATCGAAGTCAGGCACACCAGGGATCTTGACTGCCTTCTGGGCGGCATAGAAGTCAATGACCTCTTGAGAGTCGTTCTTGAACGCTGGTATGGGTTAATCGAGAACCCCGTGACAAGGGCAAGCTAAGGACTTGGGGTGGCTTACGGAGAATGATGGGATATGTCGGAAAGACGGCGAAGTTAGGATCCAGCTCCTGTTTGACTGTCAGCGTCTGTGCTCGTGGGTTCCCAGAGAGTTTGACACACGTAGAGAAAGTGAAGCTCGTCCGCAGTGCAGCCAATGCTGTTGGCGAAGAGGAGAGCATCACGCTTCAGCCAGGTCACCTCCCTGGCGGGATATTCAAAACCAACTCCAGGGCCAGCCATGTTGAATGAGTTTCACAATGAGATAGCTTAAGGGCTGTTGGGCGAGGACTACACAGCAGTTACAGAGCTTATAGGGTACAGGATTGGGAGATTTATATTGTGCAAGCGCAACAGAGGCTGGCTACAAGAACCGCGGATGACAACCGCTTTTCTACTGCGCCCCTCTGCCGAGGTTCGAATGTGGAGAAGAGCTGTCTGTCCCTCACCAGCTTCCCCAGATGCATCGCGGACCCCTGTCATATACGACCCTAGTCGACGGGGTAGCTAGACTGACGTTGGTCAATCGATATCCACCACCATCACGAAGTAAAGAAACAGCCTGTGTTTGATACAAAATCTTGATGTTTAGACCAGGAGTTGTTTGTTGGTGAGTGTAGAAAGTTGAATATTGAAATAGCGATCTTACCAGCTCGCTGTCCTTATAATTCGTATTTGGTGCTTCCCGCAGGTATATATCCCAACCTGGGGCATCTTGTGAAAGCTGGAGTGCAATCCCCAGTATCCCGCCTTGATGTTGGTTGCTCGACGGCCTGCAATCCGGTCTGGATGAAATTGTACCTCTGGAAAATCCATTGTAGGCCGGGCAACGCGTTATCCTCAGTGCCTGCCGAAGTATTTACAGCATTGACGGCACATCATCGGCAGTTGCCTGGGACTGAGATGTGGTGCTAGGCGGCTCTACCATTTTAACTCACCTTCATACAAGCACCGATAAGAACCTCTCCACGCAACCTACCATCCATAATTTTCTGGGTTCCGAGCCTCTCGTTTCTCGAAACCCTGCACGAGGGTCTCGTCTTTTACCCCTCACCCACAGCGATGAAAGGAATCGAAGAGCCATCCACCAAGCATGGTGTGCCGCCCGAGGTCACATAGGGTGTTGATTACGGAGCGGCACAGCCGTTGGCTCAAGCGGGCTCGCAGGGGAAAGACATTGATCCCCAGGACGGTTCTCCAGACAGCCGCCCAGATGCCTACATTCACCTTGGGCCGCAGGATCCTGGGAAATCCTGGAAGAGCATTTCTGACCGCACCACCAAGTTGGTCAAACGGAGACTGAATGTGGACCGTGGACTGGCAGATGCTGAGCAAAGGAGGGATGGAAAAGCGCCGCACTTGAAGGAAGAATTTCTAGCAAGAGATGAGAGAGTCTCAGCGGAAGAGCAACGGCACCTTCGCAGCTTAGATGGCAGGCTCAACCAGCTGGTCTCTCAATCTCTTGCTGGCCTTCGCGATTCTGATGCTGGTGACATCGACTTTGCCAAGCAGCATCTTGCAGCATTCAAGGCTCATTTACGCGCTCATAACAAACTCAATGTTGAGTCTACTCAAGGTCCAGGCGCAGTCGCAGACAATCGTCGTGATGCTGCAACCAAAAGCAGCCCTCAACCCAACAAGAGGCTGAAATGTCCTGGGTTATCTCCCAAACCGTCTACTAGGCTTCTTCAACTCAAGCGCAAATGCCACAAGCTGATTGAAGCACGCAATACACTGAGTAGGGATTTGCTAGAGGAAGCAATGCGCCGAGATGTGAGTATCGAGAGCTTGCAGTTGGAAGGGCGCCTTTTGAGAAGGGATGAGGGCCTCAAAACGCGCGAAGCACAGCATCTGGAACAGATCACTAGAAAGTACGAGGACGCCAAGGACTGTCTCGGCGCATTCCCTACCAAAGATACCATACGTCATTTCAACAAGGCGGAAAGACTTCTCGGACGTTTCAAGACACATCTCGATAAGGCGCATAGAAGACCGTTCGGTGAGACAGATGGCTCTGCGCTTTCAGACCAGAGCGAGTCTGCGCCATCCACCTACTACGTCGACACTAGAGGCACCAGCGTTCCAACTCAGGAAGGCTTACGAGGCGAGGAGAGCCAAGCATTGCCCCTCTTGGCCACCAGAAAGTTAATCGTAACAAAGACATGGAAGTTGATGAAAAGACGCGATAAACTCGATGAGCAGTTACTGGAAGCAGCTCAGAAGGAGACCATCGATCAGCCCACTTATGACCTACGCGACAACATTCTTCGACTTCGGGATCACCTGTGGAAATGCGAACAGAAGCATCTGACACACTTATCCTCGAAGCACCGCCGGGCTCGACGTCGAATAGCCAAGTACAATCGTCTCATTGATATCAGAGATGAATACCGACTTCGGAGAGCACTCACTCTATTTAAGGCACATCTAGGTCCGTACTGGAAGTTCAACGAGCCTGACGAACAGTATCTCGAATCTAGCCCGGAAGTCGATGATGCAGATACGAAACAACTGTCTAGGCTGGAGTCTGGCTCCGAACCGTCGGGAAGAAAACGAAAGGCTACCTCTTCTGATGGAAAGTCGGTGAAAAGACTACAGGTCGATGATTTGTTCCATGTATCTGGAAGAGGCGATACAGCATCAAACAGCCAGCCGATGGATGATGAAGGCAAGCTAGAGTTTTCTTCCCGAGTTCCAGTTGAGGTTCGAACTCCGCCGTCAGAGGAGACATCGGAGGACCGTCTTAGGCTTGGTCATCTCGTCGCTCCTCATCTCGACGATGCCACAGTCGTATACGATCGTCCAGGTGCAAAGGGAGCCTCTGAATGTGATTACCTCATGAGTGGAGGCATTTTGACGGTCCCCCTTCTAATGCTAATGGCCTCTTCGTCCCCGGTAAGAACAGCTGAAGTCGATATAAGCGGTGCAGGAGACACTGTGGCAACTGCAAGGCCTAAGGAGGAAAAGTTTCCGAAAAATCGTCCCTCGGAGGAATCGTCATTATCACCATCCTTTGGGATACACTGTCACGATCTCCCCATGAATGCTCAATCCTCAGACAGCGCCAGAGCAATTACCAGGAAGTCGGCATGTTCTCTCCCGGGCAACAACAAGAACTGCTCAGGCCGTCCATTGGGAAATCAGGACTCCCCTACACTGAAAACATCCAAGGCCAAACGTCTCATTCGTATGAAGCAGTCGACGCCTCTCAACAAGACTCAACTAACACCAAAGTTGATGGGTCTTGTTCATCCAACACCCATTGAAGGACCAAGACCACCGGGATCGAGATCCATAAGAATCAACGGACCTGTTCAGTTATACAACTGTCTAAACCCACCGAATGATGCAGAAAGGCCCCAAGGATATTCCAGGGGCTCAAGCAGAACCACTTCCGAGAAACAGGCTTCTCAATCTCGTCCAGCTTCACCATGGATTGGCCGGAGCACGACACCCATCCCACCTCCCGAGATCCCTCGAAGCCATCTCTTGCCTGAGAACTCAGGACAAACCACCTTATCGGCGCCTCCACCAGTGACGACGTCTGTACCGTTGCATCTCTCTCCCCCTGGACCAATGACGGATGTGTCAAAGAAGAGGAAGAAGAAGGAAAGGAAAAGCCTAGAAAAGTTGTCCAATGGCAAGAAGCCTACTATTGTTGCCGCTGCCAATTTGGTTGAATTGGCTCAATCTGGAAGTCATAGTGGTCTGACTGACGAGGACCGCAAGGCTCTTGAAAGTGAGGCAAAGCGATGGAGGAACATGCTGAACTTGTAGGAGGCTCTGCGTATAGCAAGATATCCAGGGCTGAAGTCTTGGCAAGACTCATATGTCCTATAGCAAGATGCTTTTGCTATTATGTGCTTGTCAGGCTTTGGACATACACAGTATCGGATGTAATCTCTACATCAGTTGAGGTCGATACGGATGCCACTCTACCTACTGTTGCTTTCGTTGTGGCTGCTGCTCGTCAGGTTCACGTGCTTCTTTCTGAGGCGTTGAGGAAGTCAGGAGCGGCATGGATCCATTGATTGCGGCCATGAGTATATTAGACTGTACAGTAAAAGTGCAAATACAGATTCGTATCTGTGACTTCTCAAGCGACGTCGCGATCAATTGCAGCGAGGTTGGGGTGCTTCGTCCCACGTGCTAGCCCGAAATAAGTCGTGGCGTTACGGAAAACCTTCGCATTTTGACAAAAATGGTTTCGCATCTTTGACTGAGACTTATAACTACAAGTATTGTCAAAGCGAGTAACAAGAATGACAGCATAATCAGACACTTGCATTTGCAGCCATATCAGAGGTAGGTAGGTTCGAAGAGACCGATGACGGAGCAAGTATCGTGGTTCCACACCCTTCGGGTACATCTCGCCGATGATATCCCTATCTGACTCGTCCACACTAAGCCCGAATGTCGCTGTGGACTTGCTGTGCCCCCAGTCACGGCTCGCTGATTCCGCGGGGTAAAAGCCGCCGAAGGCCCACTCAGGTCCAAATAAAAAGTCTCATGATTTGCCAATGAGATCATCCTCATATCTCATCAAGGAATCTAGCCGGCGTGAGCGAAGATGGCGGACAAGTTAATAAGCGCAGAGGAAGGTTGGTAGTCGACATCGTGTTGCCCGGCGCTTTCGAGGCCCATTGCGCTAACCAAGTTGCAGTTGTGAAGCACAACACCCCAGATAGCTGCTGGGTGGTGCTGTACGGCCATGTATACGACGTGACGGATTTTCTGTCCTCCCATCCTGGAGGCTCGAAGGTTATTTTGCAGCTAGCAGGTAGAGATGCCACCGAGGAGTATGATCCTATTCACCCCCCGGGGACCCTGGAGGAGAACCTTAAGCCAGAAGCGAAGCTTGGGAAGATAGATCCTCAGACTCTTGTCAACACCACCAAGCCAGCAGCGAAGGAGGAGAGAAAGCCAGAAGAGGAACCTCCACTGGAGAGTCTCCTGAACCTCGACGAGATTGAGGAATTGGCCCACAAGAAAATTCCACAGAAGGCCTGGGCCTACTACTATTCATCCAGTGACGATAAGTTCTCTAAGGGCTACAACAACCAAGTCTACCGGAATATCTTGCTGAGGCCAAGGGTCTTCCTGGACTGCACGAAATGCGATTCGTCCACAACACTGCTTGGCCATAAGGTCGGCTTGCCATTGTTCGTGGCGCCAGCTGCAATGGCGAGGTTAGGACATCCCGACGGTGAAGCAGGTATCGCGCGAGCAGCCAGCAAATTTGGGGCAATGCAAATCATATCAAACAATGCATCAATGACCCCGGAGCAGATTGTGGCGGACGCACAACCAGGACAGGTGTTTGGTTGGCAGCTTTACGTGCAGAACGATCGCAAGAAGAGCGAGGCGATGTTGGCACGAATCAACAAGATGTCAGACAAGTTCAAGTTCATCTGCCTGACTCTGGACGCCCCAGTTCCAGGAAAACGCGAGCTCGACGAAAAACAGAATTTCCTCAACGCGACACCCGTCGCGGCGGCGGCGAAGACCGCGGACGAGCCGAGTCGACCTGGCGGAGGAGGAGTCGGCCAGCAACTATTCTGGGGCACGGCGGCCGACCTGACATGGAAGATCACGTTGCCGTGGTTAGCGAAACACACCAAATTGCCCATTGTCCTGAAGGGCCTGCAGACTCATGAGGATGCGTATATCGCTGCGAAGTATGCTCCTCAAGTCAAGGCAGTCATTCTGTCTAACCACGGCGGTCGAGCCCTTGATACAGCGCCGCCAGCGATTCACACCCTCCTTGAGATCAGGAAGTACTGTCCCGAGGTCCTGGATAAGATTGAGGTATGGGTGGACGGCGGTATTAAGCGCGGCACAGACATAGTGAAAGCGCTGTGCCTAGGCGCCAAAGGCGTAGGCGTCGGCAGGGCTGCTCTCTTCGGATTAGGCGCTGGAGGCCAGCAAGGAGTCGAGCGGACGTTCGAAAGTAAGTCACATGTCAAAATGCGCGCCAGTCAAGTCTTGGGTGCTAACAATATGCGACAGTCCTGAAGGGCGAGATGGAAACCTGCATGAGGCTTCTCGGCGCACCAGATGTCAGTGCGCTTGGCCCACGCAATGTAAGTGCTTTTGTGAAAAAGAGCCCCCCGTGGCACGCAGCTAGGCGAACTAACGATCGTCTTGCAGATTAACACTCGGATGGTGGAGAGAGACATATATGATGGAGAAGCGGGATTGGATAGGGATGGCTTGTGGGAACCGAAAGCGAAGTTGTAAACCCGTGGGGTAGGACAACGCTCTGAGAGAGAGAGAGAGAGAGAGAGTGAGAGAGAGAGAGAGAGAGAGGAAAGAGGATATACACTGGGATGAGATGAGATCGACGAGCTACGGCGATGCACCCCTTTGAATAGCGTCAACTCAATACTTTGGTCAATGGTCATCAAGCCACTCGTTGCACTCTCTTATGTAAAGAATGAATGCTGTCAAAGGACCACCTGCCCAATAGATACATTGAGGCTCTTGGCCCTAATGAGCGAGCCGAGCCCAGCGTCACATGCGCTTCACGGGGACAGGCGCGTACGACTTCGCAAGGCTATTATGAACCCGGAGACGCCTCCTTCAAGCCTACTAGGATTCTATTGATTATGACTGTGTGGCTGTTTGAAACAGCCTACCACCCTCACACTATGAAAAAGATCCGGATACGACCATGTGGTGCCACTTTGGTTGGAGCGGGTCTTGGCAGGTTGGTACAAATGGACGCGCGGTCCTCTAGTTTCTTGAGTGTACATAGTATGCATTGGGGGTTACAGATTTCGGGTGGTATACGATAGGTCGGAAGATTTGGGTTGATATTTTGACTGGCCTATTTGGAATGCCATGTTACAGAATAATTGACTGAATATTAAATGTCGTGGCGGTTTCCATACGGCCATGAGACCACTGACTGAGCGGCCCAGACTGCGTGGAACATAGCGCAGTCCAGGGCATCCAAGGTCGCAGCGAATCACAATCGAATCTACTCAAATCTCCGAGGGGCCCTATCGAATCCTCGTACGCGGGTTCGGACCGAGCATGCCAAAGCAGCACCGGCAGACAATGTATCATTACCTACCTGCCAGAGGATTTCAGAGAACGTCTTTGCATATACGACCGCTTCATTCTGTAATTTTCATGCTCACAGAGTGTTTTGCAGAATGAAACTAGACCCCGAGATCTTCGGTTGAGTCTCCTTGGGCTGTGGTCACAATGGCGAGGAAAGTTTAAAGTGTTAAAATGACAACCTCGGGATAGCACCCCATTGAAGCCAAGACGTCCCACTTTGGCGTCCTGTTAGCGGAGGATCAGCAGCTTAAATCCAGATCATGGGGAAATAGGACTTGGCTTCCCCGGTGTGGAGAAGCACACACACACCAGATCCCACTCACTCCGCAATGGCCAAAAGCTTGATCATGCCCGGTAAGCCCGGCTTCTCACTTCCCTTTCCGGGAGCGATAACTTAGCCAACGGTGAAGCAAGTAGATGGCGCTTTTATATCTATACCAAGTCGGCGGGAGGCTGTCAACAGTAGTTGTGAGGCTTATTCCAGAAATGAGGACTGCCTGTCCGTCCTCGACGACGTGTGATATTCCTCGCGATGGTGAAACCTCTTTTACGCAGGATCGGCAGGTTACATATTGCATGTAGACCTGGCCAAGTTGCTGAGGGCCAAACGGCTTGGATCAGACATACAGCTGGCCTGCCTGGACCCTGGATCCTCATTTAACAACGACCTGCATGTAAGCATGTGCTTCTGCGGAAGCCGAGGGAGCGTTGAGATTGGATCCTGATCCTGGGGAAATTGGCAAGGTCCCCTGGCCCGTCCGGCCCATCGTTGCGGGGATTCGCTCGGCCCAGCCGAAAAGGGAACTGCATCCGGTCGCCTGCTCGCCAGTCCGTCGAGCTTGGAGTGGTCGAATTTCGACTATGCAGCTCGATGGGGCAAAGTGTCGAGAGACCACGGCGACTGATTCGACGCTGCGGCAGAGATCTGTTGACAGGGCGGGTTGGGTGTGTGTGTGGTGCCTGGTCGGCATGCCTTGCCTCCAGATCAACTTCGCCTGGATCTCTCGCCCTCTGGGCCTCTGGGCCTCTGGGTCTCTGGGTGGTGGCACCATGGCACAGGTGCTTATACGGATTGAGCCACCGGCCCTTCGGGTCATGGGATGGATGATGGTCCCCCTCCGGATTGCACATGCCAGAACTGCAGTCTGCTCGCCGGTACAAAGTAGTCCTGACCTCCTCTACCGCGTCACCGGGACTGTACCTCTCTGAGACCTGGTTGTGACGTCGTATTCACACGTCGTGGACACCCAGTCTGCAGATAATCGAGTCTCAACAACGCCTCACTCGACCACGGCGATCCCAAAGACCTCACGTTCACAGCAGCAGCATGTCGGAAACCACATATGGCTCCGCGCCCAAGTCCAAGGCCAGAGGTGGCCATTGCAAGAGGTTCTGGTGGGTCTACCTCTTGGTCCTGATTGTCATCATCGTTATTGTCGTGCCATGCATGTAAGTCAAAGCCTACGGGGAGTCCTCTATATTCCGCCTGCGGCTAATACTGCTCGCTCTGCGCAGAATTCTGGTTGCCGTTCCCAAGATGGCGCAGCAGAAGGTGGACGCCGCCCATCTGTCCATCGAGGGCATCACCATTTCCCAAAGCGAGACAAACTCACTCAACATGGCCATCAACTCGACCATCACGACTGATGGGAGTGCCCACGCAAAGATAGCAGCCTTCAGTGGTACGATGTGGCTCCTGGACCACGATCCGCCCTTGGCCTTCGCCACTGTCGACTTTCCGGAGGTGTCCTCGGATGCTCTGGTCACGGTCAACACCAGTCAGCACCTACCTATCGAGCATATGGAGGAGCTCACGCTATTCAACCAGTATCTCCTCGCCAAGGAAACAGTCAACGTCAGGGTTCAGGGAGACACGACTATCCGAGTATCCGGCATCGCCCGAGATTACCCAATTACCTTCTCCAAGGACGTCGAGATCGTCGGCTTCAATAACTTTGCAGGCATGAAGGTTGATAATACGTCCGTTTCGCTCTCTACAACGAAAAACTTCAATGCCACTGCAACGATTCCAAATCCCACAATCTGGACAATTGATGTTGTAAGTTGACGGAGAGGAGCCATTAGATAACCTTGTCCTAACAGAAGATGGCAGGGCAATGCATCATTCTATACCTTCTTCAATGGTGCTAACATTGGCAACTCTAACATCACCAACATGGTCCTATATCCAGGCGATAACGTCTTCCCAATTCAGGGAGACATTCAGCAGCTTCCCGTGCTCAAGGCTCTTGAAGGGAAGCCATACTGTGAAAATGGGGGCATCCTCCCCTTTCAGATATCGGGACACACAGTCGTGAACAATGGCCAGCCTATTCCGTGGCTCGCCGACGCCTTGGCTGCCTCGAATCAGAGTGTTACCATCGACATTGGCAGTGCTGTCAAACCTCTTGGTGTTCAGGTTTCATGCCGCAGCAGCAATACTACGTCTTAAGTGACAGCATCATTTGACTTGGTGCATGTGTATCAAAAAGCCCGCGCAGCCTGTTTCAGCGGAGGTATAAACCGGCCGGGTATCATTTAATAGGCTGGGACAATGCTTGAACATGTATAAAGTAGTCTGGGGGGCGTTACTAGAAAAGATATGTGAGACCAAATTACGATCGACTCATGATTTATCCTGTGAAAGACCAAGTTCGTTCATTGTAAATATCACATTGTAGCTGCTGCCATCACACTAGGAGCTTGCGCATTCTCTTTCGAGCAGCATGGCTAACCAGCACATCAAGTTCCCAGAGGGATGCCCCACAAGTTTCCATTCAAACCTTCAAAACTTGATTTAAAAAAAACACTTTTGGTTGCTGTATTGGAGAACAAGTTGCTACCCAGTAACCGGTACAGCTATGGTCTGACAAGTACTATAAAAATCACTCGGAAACACCTATCTTGGTCAAGTAGAAAACTTTGTGGGCTAAAGAACACATGCCCTACTTTTTATGGTAACGGCGTGTCTGCAAAGGGAGCCACAGCCAGACCCTCGGGCCATTTTGCCCCTGACGCAGCGTTGTCGACCAGCAAGCGGATGCGGCTCACCTCTTCAGAACTAAGCTCAATGTTTGCTGCGGCGAAGTTCTCCTCCAGATACTTGATCTTAGTTGTTCTGCGCAGAAGTTAATAATCCCCTTCACTCTTGGATAGACGCCGGAAATTAGGGAGAGTGTGTGACTTACCCCGGGATAGGAAAAATACCATCCCCCTGATGCAGTAGCCAGGCCAGGGCCAGCTGCCCTGTGGTGCACGATTTTGTCTTTGCAATATCCTGCAAGGCAGAAACGATTTCAAGGTTCCTGGGGAAATTCTCTTCTGAGAAGCGCGGGAAGCTGAGGCGAAGGTCGTTCTTGTCAAAGTCCGCACGGCTCTTGATTTGACCAGTCAGTAAACCACGGGAAAGCGGCGAATAGGCCACCACGGCGACGCCCAACTCGCGACACGCGGCTAGAAGCCCGATATTTGGGTCTTCTATGTCGGTTGTGAAGGGGCTGTATTCTATCTGAACCGCCGCGATCGGGTGGATCTTGTGTGCTCGGCGGAGAGTATCTGCGGAGACTTCAGAGAGACCCAAATGACGGATCTTGCCTTGTCTGGCACGTAGAGTTAGCCCCAAAGGATCGCGAGTCGGCTTCAAGGGTTGCAGGTCCCTGTAGGACATACTCTTTGAGCTTGACCATCTCCGCGACAATGTGCTCCACCGGTGTGGAACCATCTAGACGATGTGGATAGTAGAGGTCAATGTAGTCGGTGCCGAGCCGCTTCAGGCTTTTCTGGCAGGCTTCTTGGACATACGCAGCATCTCCACGAAAAGTCCACTCGGCTGGTCCGTTGGGAATGGCTCCAAACTTGGTCGCGAGGAATATGTCAGAACGCTTGCCGGACGTGGCAAACCACTTGCCGAGAAGGTCCTCGGAGTCACCCTGTAAGTGTGAGCCCAAAACAAGGGACGGTCATGGAGTAGGCTGGTTGGGTTTCATACATAGAAATCACTACTGTCCCAAAAGGTTTCCCCAATTTCGTGGGCGCGGTCGAATACAGCTAGTCGTTCTTCGTCGGCTAGACGAGGCCCGTATGACAAGGGAGGTTCGATGGAAAGACCCATTGTTCCGAACCCTATGCGAGGGACCATTGGTCCATCTTTACCAAGTTGACGTCGTGGAATCGGCAACATTGCAAGCAAGCTGGTTGGATAGAGTGAGGTGCTACTGATCAAAGTCGAGAGGAGGACGGTTGAAGCTGAGGCGGAAGATATTCCCTTCGCAGCAAGCACTCAACACCGTCTTATATATCACGGACCTCTGATCTTCAGGACACCATTTCCACTGCTGACAAGGTAGGCCATCGGTGCCGGCGGACTTTGTGTGTGGGCGTAAGAAGCCCGCAATCCGCAAGCTTATCAAACTCCGAGACTTCGAGTTGAGTAAGATGGGACCTTTTGGGCGGCCTCCCAAGACCGCGTTTTGGCCTCATTCATGCCGACATCTATTTTCAGAGTATTCTTGACAAATCTTTTTAAGAAGAAGGAGGAGGAGGAGGGGGCGTGATGGAGACTCGCAGCTGTAGCTGATGTCTTAAGCTCCATAATACTCAATAAGTACGCCTCCAGGATGATGGCACGGCTTCTGCCGAAGTAATATGTATATTTGTATATATATACAATAGAAAGAGTCTAGTATGTTGTGGATGAATATTATAGTGTAAGGAAGGGCTGCGGCTTCTACAAGCAAATTACGGGATCTGGCGCTTAAGTCGGCGTTTCAAATAACTCTAGTGACCATAGATCGCAGACTATAATCTAGCAAACCTGCATTGTCCAAATGAAGTTGTAGAGAAATCCGCAAGCTGCCAAGGTTCTTGATACGTGTCAGCTGCTAGATCATACATGAAGCTACGGTGGTAAACTTGCAATACTCGTCACTTCCAGAGCTACTGTCGGCTAAGGAAGGTACAATGAAAGCTACTCAAATATGCATATGAGTGCAGCTTCAATCCTGGCAGCGACTCCGGGTGCCGTTCGACCGCTGCGGACTTCAAGTTCCGCAACAGTCAGCGCGGCGGAGCGGACTTGCGGAGTTGTGTTATGGAGGTACGGATCTCGGAATAGCTACGGCCGCCATTATGGCTCCGGCGGGACAGGAGATGGAAAAAAACATCTTATGTCCGAGCCCTTGCGGGTTTGCTCTTTTTTTCATCGAGAGTCCAGTTGCTCTGAGGCTATATCACTGTTTGCACTAGCTCAATTACTGAGTGTCGAAACGCTCGTACTATGGAGTCTCGCTAAAGCCGGATACATCGTGGTATAACTTTATCATGAAGCTCAACCTACGCCTGCTATAACACTGAGCGAGCGAATACCAGAGTCGGCACGGCACCAAGTCGCGAATTCTTTCCGTTTGGATCAAGATCCAGCAGGCAAGCGGCCCGTCGAAGCAACAAGGAACGGGAACCAGCGGCAACGCGGCAACCGGCCTCTTTCAACACCTCGTCTGGTGCCGAGACACGGAAGCTCTGCTGTGTGCCCATCGTCACCAAAGCCACGGATGAGGACACCAGTGACTCGACCGAGACGACTAGAAACCTAACAAATGTGTAATGCAGATGGCCGCTGTGGGACACCTCGCAGTCCCGAATGTTGGGAATGAAGTGGCACACTCGGCTGCTTGCAGTACAGTGCGATCTGTGAAAGGCAAACATCCCTGCCGGACAGATGGGGGGTCCTTTGGGGGCAATTCGCCTTGTTCTGCCGTATCTGGACACTACTCAAAATTGTGTGCGACTTTGAGGCACATTAGATGGCTCATGCGGCGGAATTGTGAATGATTCCGAGTTGCATGTAGCCCGTTGAAGATACAGAGAAATGGATAGAACATGCAAGCCACCCCAGGTACGACAAAAGCTATATTCCGCTGCACTGCAGGTTGAGATATTGCCCACCGTCGCCTTACAAGAGTTACCACTAGCAATAGTCTCAATGTCGAGTGCGATTGATTGTTCGGGGCCTGCGATTACTGAACATGACACTGGTTTAAGCCACGTTGAAGCAACGAGGCTAGGGTATGTTGATAACTACGATGGTGATCAAGGTATGCCCGACATCAAGGACCCCGTCCAACTTTGTGCACATGCTGCTCAAGAACGGCCATTGCTTTTGCATCGTTAATGAGTTGTGCTAGAGCGGAGTTTAAGAGGGATATCTATTGTCGAAATCCATGGTCACTACAAAGAGGTAGTTAGTTGTACTTAGCTTTCCTGAGATCTAGAAACTTTTCTTTCTCCCTTTTTGGGGTAGCTTCATGCCGTCATGCCGTGTTTGTTCGGGTTGCCCACTGAGCAGTCTTTTGACTAGGAGGTAAAAGATACCAGCATGGAAGGCCCTGTGCCGATGCAGATATAATTTCCATCCAGATGCAGCTGAGAGTGATCATCAAGGGGCACAGAAAGCCATGTCTCATGATACGCAACCTAGAGCAGCTGCACATTGGAAGCGTAATTCCTCAGCTTTGCAGGAATGAGACATCCAACAACGGGAGGCGCTGAATAGGACAGTAGCTATTGAAGCCACGTTTTCAGCCCCAAAAGAAAAAAAAAACTAAAAAAAAACTGCAGATATGGGATGTCTGGCAGCGTATTGCTTTCGTCGACACTTTCCGGCCAAAATCCCGAGACTGAGGTGCATCGTCCAAGGAGATTCCACCAGAAGGGATACCATCGAAGTCGCTACGTGAATCTGTGACGCAGGATATCAAGTGTGAAGTGCCTGCTGGTGTTTGCGTTGCTTCTTGTGACCAGTGCCCAGAACGTCTGAGCTCATTCGCTGGATGGGCCGGGAGCCGGCAATGCAGGAACTTGCAGAGAGAATTCGTCATTATCGCTGCCAAGGCCAAGGAAAAGCAACTCAAGTTTGACAAATTCGACTAGGATACAAAGTCAGGACGGAGTTTATTAAGGAAACGGACCCATGAAACGCCCCCAACGAACTGGATTTAAATGATCAATCAACGTTACTGGAGCATAGCTGTGTGAAACGTTAAAACTCGTCGCCGGGTTTCGCGATCTACCGGGGATGCGGTCAATGGGGCTCCAACATGTGGCCAGGGTCGCTTTGCATAAGGCCCAATCCGGGTGTGCTTCCGTGGAGACGACGGGGCGAGCACCGATTCACCACTGGACGGGAGAGAACCGAATGGATGCTGGGAAAAAGTTACGGCTCCATATGGTGGATATCCAAACAATGATCTATCTGGACTCTCATGCTCCTCCCCCCACATATGTTACCAGGCCCCGAGGGCTGGGTGGGATGACAATGCGGCACATAACCATACCAACTCAAGAAGTCGGACGCAGAGCCCAAGCGCTGCCCTATGTCGTACATCCAATGTGGTATCCAAAATGGTTCGCTCTGATGATTCCACAGGCAGGCCTGCTGTCAGCCTCCAGTCCGCTCGCTCCTCGTCGGATTGGCATTCCAGTTTCGGTCTGGGTACGTTCCCGAAAGCTATATTGCGCCGAGAGGGCAGCAACTGGCAAGGCCCCTTGGGCCCCAGGCCGAAGCCCAAGACAGCCTCCGGTCCCAGAATCCATGGACCGCGCCGCCCTTTGACTAGCGGCTTTGGGGATTTGGGGCAATGATTGACGCGAGCCCTGATGTCGTTTTTGGGTTTGTCCTTCACCCGAAATGAACAGTGCAGGGGGGGAAGCCGGGTGCGCTAGTCAAGAGAACGTGGCACGCGCTTCGACAAGGGGCCCATCCCATTTTCTGGGGGGGCCGGCCAAAAGTCCATGGAGAAATCCATTGCCGAGCACACAGTCATCATCACCTCGGGAAGGATTCGCAGTCACGTACATATCATACCGAGATCAAGACCGACAGGATTAGGAACCATACGACGTGATGCAAGAAGGAAGAACCTCGCTTCCTGCACTCCATATTGCTGCACTCGAATGGCATGCTCTCTTCCTCCGCATCACGTCAGAAATGCGGATGGCAGACCAGCTACGAGCCGTTGTACGACTTGGTCTGAACTGCCACCTTGAGAGTGCGACCGAGGACCTGCAAAGCACTTGACCGGTTACTGCGAGATGCTGTGGCAACCTACGCACCATAAGTTATGCTGTGCCATTCGATCCCAGTCGGGCGCGCCCACATTCCACGTGCGCCACTTGATGCTTTCCTTCACAGCTGTCTGACGACCAGGGACTGTAACACTTTGTTAAAGTAGTCATCCAGGGATGTTGGAGATTTCTCAAAGCAGTCCTCTGCTGTATGTTTGAGAGCCTACTACGGTACAGTGATTCTATTGTGGTATCACCGAGCTATTTCTGAGCACGTCTGGCTGGCTGTCATGCAGGTATCGTAACGACGTAGTATTCGATGACCGAGGAAGCTGAGCTTACTATGTAAACCCTCCACATTCTGCGGCATTGTCATTCTGCAGGTGTGGGTACACTTCACTCCAAGAGGATCGGATCCTCTACGGGATATCCGTGCCAGGCAACGTATGTTATTTTTGGGGGCCAGCACAACTCGTGGCTTGAAGAATCTTGATGCCTCCCCCCATTCGATGAAAGCTTGAGGGCACGCCAGCAGGTGCTTGGCTTAAGGAGCACCTAGGTGCCTCGAATAGCGGCAGTACTAAGAGCCCATGTGATTATTCTTATGTCAACGTGGAATCGTTAGCGAATTCTGGTGATACCGTGGTCCTGCTCCCCTCCCCCTCTCCGGTGGCTACCTTGGGAAAATCGACTTTTTCGCTACCGTCGTATTGCGGCTGTGTCTCACTTCTGGAAGATGCACTCCCATTGATGGACTGAGCTGGAATTAGGACGGCCATGTCTTTCGAGGGACCGAGCCCTGCCGGGCACTGGCAGTGAACTGTAACCCAGTAGCGTGGCAGGGTTCCCGGCTCGCACGTACTATGGTGCAGTAGGTGTGCCCCGATCTTACGTGCAGCGCGGATGCATATGACGGATGGTCTTTGCCGCCAGGATCCTCTCAACGGGGAAACAACACCCCTCATTTCTTCATGACTTGTCTGTCTTGCCTACTATGTCCAGGCGCTGAGTTTGGCGCTGAGTTTGGCGCTGTGCTCGAGTCCTGACCACCATGGGAGAACCACGCAGATTATGTACGCATCTGACGGCACAGTCGAGATTTATCGAACGCGTCCAGACCAGGAGCGGGCCAATTAGCAGAAGAAAAGCAAACAATAGGCTCGATGGGTTGGTTGGGGACTTTCGCCGGATCATGTAAGATGCCGTCTGCGTACGGAGATGGTGTGGCACTCGTGTAGGCAAACAACCAAATGACTGACTCAGGACTGGGCGTTGACAACGCGGAGAAAGTCCTACGGCTTGACAATGGAGTTTGAGCGCGAGGGAAAGCGTTCAGTCCGGGTCAAGGATGGTGTAGTTTGAATAGGATTATCGAGCAACTATGTATAGTCAGTAGCTCCATAGTTCCTCGATCCCAAACACGGCAGGAAGTCTGCTCACCCAGGCCCAAACCAAAGTCGTGGTCCGCCGCTCATTGCTCGTGCTGTACTATGTATTGTGTAGTTATGGGGGGTGGGTTATTGGGGAGGGGGGGAGGAGGGGGCAAACAGGGGAGATTCACCCGCACCGACAAGCCGAAGGAGTATAGCGCCGAATCTTGATGCTGGGTGGCTGCCCGGAACAGCTTAGGCCGCATCTAGGTTGGCATGGGTGTATCGAAAAGCACATGGCAGCAAGTGGCTTGGGGTGTCCAATCATGGCCCATCTCACGTGGCGGGCGGGAAGATCGACTCGGGCAGGCCCCAAATCTGCAAGTCCAAGAACCTGAACTCGAACGCAATCAGCACGTACAGAGTACCGCAGTACACCATGGTAGCGGGTCGATCGTCCCAAGCCGTCGCGGCCAAGTTTGTTACGTTGTAGCTGGCTGCTACTGCCACATGGACAACTGGAACGCTCTCTTGCCTTGCACTGTCTAGGCCGCATGATCGACAATGACGGCTCTCTCCCAGGGATTGGAACGTTTCCCCGTGGCCCCATGCCCCTAACTCCAGTACCCAAAGAGAACCAGACCGCGCAGACGCGAGTCGCCCGGGTACAAGCGTGCTCCTTCGGGGCCTTGCCAGGAGCCCCAAAAAAGCACATGCTGAAGACTAGGGACCAGGGGGGGCCTCGAGCGAGCCCTTGCAGTAAGTTCATCAGCAAAAAGCAGCACCAAACGTATGTACGTGCGGACCCGGTTCGCAATCGAGATCGGGAAGTCGCCCAGAGGTACTGTGGTATGAACATAGATCCGTAAGTTGTCTGTCTCGTCGGCCTATCCTGTCGTCCAGAAACACGTTCTCGGCGACAGCGCGCTGTGCGTGTGGCTGTCCGTCGATCCAATCCTCCTCGTCTCGTCGCACCGCTTCCCATGACCCGCCGTAGGGTAAGACGTCCGGGCTTGCACAAGCCACCGGACCACTGCTGCACACTCGGACAGAGGTAACTCGACTGGGCCCAAGGGCACTTGCTTCCCAAGATTGATTGTGATATCCGACCTATCAAGGAGCTTCCCACGTGTGCAACCAACTTCTGCGCAAAGCAAGTGAACGGGTTCGGTTCGCCAGTTCCCTGGCCCTCTTGCTGTAGAGGTCCTTGCGTCCGACGAGAGTCACTCGTCTAATCCGCCTGTTGCGGCAAGGAAATGCAGCCGAACGGACGCACCCCCCTTTCAAACAGGGACTTTGGCATTCAGTGGGCTGGCTGGCTATCTAGGTTCCCTACTGCTAGGCTACCCGTTTTGCGTGCAGCCCTTTTCCCTTTCTTGACTCTTGGGGCACCCACCGGGCGATAAGTTCGCAATGGATGGATGCCCTTGGGGGATCTCCAAGCACTGGCAGTGATGAGCCACGCCTGCCACGCGCCGACAAGGCCTGGGTTGGCTCAGCAAAAGCCTGCAACCTTGTCAGTCGGTGGGCAGTGGGCGTGCTGGCGGGCTGGCGGGCTGGGGGGCGGAGGTACCGCTACCTAGCCACGCTGCCGCTCGATGAGCTCCACAGCTGCACACGCCGGCAGGGATCGCCATCTTCTAACCTGGATCTGAAGTGCACGGTACATGCGCTGCCACGAGGAGGAGGGCAGGCAGCGCGGCAATCTCGCGGGCGCGGGCGAGTCGCACTAGGGCATCCTCCCTGTCTCGGGCGTACTCCATACCCAGCCGTCAGGTAGCTTTCGGCCCATTTGCCATCCCAGGCCCATCGCATGGCCCCCCCCAGGACCAGCCCGGTGCTGCGTGTGATAGGGCAAGTCGCATGTGGCTGCAGCCCCAGCGCCGCGAGCCGGTGTTCCTGTACTCGTGGTTTGGTGCCCAGGTGGTCTTCTCACACCTGCCGTTCTGCGCGGTCCGCTCTGGCTGCTTGTCTGGGGTTGCCTGCCAGTGGGCCAGCGCCCTCTGGGGTCCCTCGCCTCGATTCCAACGCTCCCAGGCTCCTCCCTCTGGCCTCTGCTCTCGATAGACCCTCTCGAACCCCCCCGCCGCCGCCGCCGCCCTACCCTTAGCCACTTCAATGGTTCTGCTCAAAAGTGGACAGGTCAACTGGGGCCATCGTTCTGCTGGGCTCTGCCAATCCAATCCACGTCGAACCTCTTGTAACGACTTGCTCACGTCCCGTTCCTACCATCTGCCTCGAGCCTTCCAGCCATCTCCAACCCATCTTGTTGTGTTGCGCGCCCGGCCAACCGGCGTCTTGGAGCCCAGATCGAAGAAGCATTGTCCCCCGTCTTGCTCGCTACCCTCCCGGGCTTTGGTTTCCCATTGCGCCTAGTTGCAATCGGGAGCGGGACACCCATGGTGAAGCCCTCCGTCTAGTCCTCTAGCTGGGCCCCTGGACTTGTTCATATTTTGTGTGCTTCAAAAACAGCGAAGCGGACGACGCAATTTTGCTGAGCCCGCGCAAGAAAACCCAACCAAAACGGGTCTCGAGCGGCAGCCCTCGACTTGCAACAGCAAGATCGTCTCTTCCAACACGGTCTCCTTGGCTTGCAGCAGAAAACCTTGTCACAATGGCGACGGCAGAGCAACAACGACCCGCGTCTCAGAAGCCACCCGCTGGGTTGGCAGGCGTCTTGAATCCTGAGGAGAACCGCGATTCGGCATACTTCTCGAGTACGGATGCCTCGAGCAAGCGTAGGTCTGCCGCCTTTGGAGCGGATAATTGGTAGCTTATCATTGGAGTATAGACACATCCGCAGCCTCGGGCATTGGGATCCATGTCGTTGGCCCGCCTCCCACGGGCTATACTTCGACGCACGACAAGACTCCGTCACCAATCAGTACGAACATGCTCCCTCAGCCGTTGATCTCTCCGTCGAGCAACATGAGCATCCACTCGATGGTGTCACCAACGACACCGGGCAGCGGCCGCTTCGACCGTCCGTTGTCATACGAATCTGGCGTCGTAGTCAACGGCGGCTTTGACTCGCGGCGGGAGAGTGTCGACAGCAGAATCAACCAAGGATTTGGAGACATGAAGCTGGGGGGGAACTCTCCGTACATGAGCCACAACCAATCCACGACGTCGATTCAAGGGACTCTGGCGCAGCAGCGAAACCCGCGAACGTCTGGCTTGGAAAACCTATCTGTACATCGTATATCCAATGGCTACCAACCAAGTGCAGAACGCAACCCCGAGGTCAACCAGAAGGCCGTACGAACCGCCCCTGCCATTACCGGACCTGCCACGAGTACTATTGCGCGAGCTGCCGAACCCGTCAAAGGCCAGGCATGGGCATTCCCCGAAGAGGAAATCCCCAGGATGCCGTCGGCGGCCGGCAATCATTATTACGACTCAAGAAGGAGCAGCATCACCGAGTCCATTGCCAGTAGCCAGTTCACGACCGAATCCAGACTACCCCCTGGTCAAAGGCGGCTGGACGACGCGCTGGGCACAGACTTTCAACGTCTGTCGACCGCCTCGGCCGATTTCCCAGCTGTGCACCACCACACCCTGCAGCATAAGCAATTGTCGGATATCCACAGTGAAGAGTCGAGTCCTCACTCTGGTTCTCAGCCGTATAGCCGGACACCTGAACTGCGTGTGAGCCACAAATTGGCCGAGCGCAAGCGCCGCACTGAGATGAAGGAACTCTTCGAGCAACTCCGAGACTTGATGCCCCAGGAACGTGGATCGAAAGCCTCCAAATGGGAAATTCTCACCAAAGGTAGGCCAGGCGCGACCCCCTCTCTCTGTCCACCATACTAACCGACCCCCTATTAGCGATTGCGGAGCATCAGAAGCAGCAGGATTATATCAAGCAGCTCTCAGGGCACTTTGCCAATGCCCAGCAGGAGACCGACCATATGCGCCGAGAGCTGGAGAAGCTGCGCATGGAGAACGCGACATTACGAGGGACAAGCACGCCGAATGGGGCCCCACCACATCCCCAGGCGAGCTATCCGGCCCAGGTCCAACCCGCGGCCGACCCGTACGGCAGGGGGCCGTCGCGACCAGAGCTTCCGCCTCTTCGCTCTCTGAGTGGCAACCTTCCCAATGGGCCGGACTCGATGACCGGAGTTCAGTACGAAGGGCAGCAGTCGAACGGGTTTCAACAAGGCCGATTCTAGGTGGACTTGGCGCACGACATTGTTTGACTCTCCGTGTTTTACCCATCATTCGGGAAGTTGGGGAGCATCTTTCGTCCGATACCCCTCAGGAGAAAATTCTTTTCTTTTTCTTTCCAGCCTGGCTTTTGATCAGAGGCACGTTATACTAGTCAATCGGCCATGCATGCATCGGAGAGCTGGTTATGGTCAAACTTATAAGTGCTCCGACGAAAAAGCCCGGTTTGCACGGCGACGCAACAAGGAAGGGTGCGTTTCCTGAGGACGACGTCTTTCAACATGTGCAGGATGCACCGGTGCGGTCCACCAATGTTCAATTCTAATGTGTGATATAGAAGGGGATGAACGGCTCAGTCGGTCTACAAGCCGGTGGAGGGCTGGCTTTACGAGAGGCGGACACGGCCTCGAGCGTGGTCGGTGGGCTACGCTCTCTTGTTTCTTCCCTTCTTCTTTCTTTTCTTTTGGGGCGCAGGACTTTTACATGGTGTGCTGGTATATATACCCCTACTGGACCCTTACATTAGAGGGCTCCTGGGCTGTGGAATCTGGATGGGCTATCAAAAAAACATGTACAATTCGGTGGGACGGGGTAATGTCCCGGCAATAGTGATGGAGTACGGAGGATATAGGGTAGGTGTTTCTCGTCTGTGTCATGCAGCGAGGGATGGTTTGCTCGTGCTTGATGGCACGTCGAGGCGTCTGGTATCTTGTTACAAGTCTGAATGACAAAGTTTTGATGCCTGCCTACTCGTTCTATTGTTACCATGAATGTGCTCGGATGGGTTGGCCTTCTTGAACTAGGATGCCTCGCAAAGTGATGGGCGGTTCGCAAGCCACAGACCAAAATCCTCAGAGGGATAGCTTTGTCGTGTCTTGATGGGTTATGTTGGGTTGTTATGATTCTTGACGGGGTTGCCAAGCATGACCAAGCAGGGGATTCCGCCCCCTGATGCGAGGACATTCATTAGTTGGAGACCAGAATATCATGTGCCTGGCTATCTGACCCGCAAGTTGTTTGGACACCACGGAGCAGCAAGCCAGCAAGCAAGCTAGCATCAATTGCCATGGTTGACTTTCTACCCACAGTAAGCCCTCAGATATGGAATTCGATACTTTTCCTTGTCCAGCAGGTACTCAGCAGCCGCCGGGGTCCAGGGAACCTCGGAAATACCCATCCAACTTACATAGCACACACGGTACCCAGGTATAGAGAGACTGGATAGGATCCCCACTATTCCGGGCGCGGCTGGCACCAATCAGGTTGTGTGATTGGACCAGGGGTCCGGATGGCAATCGATTACAGTAGCGGCGCGCGCAGCGTTCGACGGGGCCAAAAATTTCAAAGGCGCTCCATGCATTGAGCAGCTGCTGTTGTCACCTATTTCGGATCTTGCGAACCTCACATTCCAAACCTCACCACCGCCGTTCGCCGTTGATCCCATCCCATCCCATCCCATCCCTGTCTGACTCTTGGATTCGCCAGTCGCAATCCTCAACATCACGATGTAAGCCTGCACCCATATGCCTGTTTGATCCGCTCGCGAAGAAAGCCCGGAGCTGACACCCCTTGTGCTCAGGCATTCCATTCGCCGTGCGGCTCTCCGAGCTGCAAGCTCTGCCTCGCCCCTGGGCACTGCCGTCGCCAGACAGCAGCTGGGCTCCTTCGCCATGCAGTTCCCCAAGGCCGCCGCCCGCCCCTCGGCGCGCTTCTTCACCCAGACGGTGCGCGCCATGGCGCAAGATTCCCGCGACCCCCATGAGCAGGCCTTCGAGCAGGCCATCGCCGCCGACGCCGTCGAGTCGGCCGAGCGCCTGGGCTCGACCGCCCCCGCCGAGGAGGGCTCCCTCACCTCCAGCCCGCTCGAGGGCAAGGTCCTGTCCGCCGACCCCGTCAAGATCTTCGTCAGCAACATCGCCTTTGACGCCACCGACATGCACCTGCGCGAGGCCTTTAGCAAGTATGGCGAGATCTTGGCAGTCAATATCGGGCGGGATGGGCGCGGCCTGAGCAAAGGGTAAGCAAGCCACTGCCAGCCTCCTCCCCCCTTTTTTGTCACGTACATCTTGTCGTTGCTGACGCTTTGTGGCAGTTTCGCTTTCGTCACCTTTGGCGACAAGGCGGCAGCTGATCAGGCCGTCACCGAATGCCACAGGTCGTTCTGGCACGGCCGTCGCATCAACGTTGACCATGCAAGGCCGGAAACAAAGCGCTCCTATGAGCGTGCGCCCGAGGGCTCGCGCACCAAGAACGAGCCCTCGTCGTCGCTCTACATTGGCAACATCCCCTACGAGACTTCGGACGCAGACCTGAACAACATGTTCCGCGACCTCGACAAGGTGGTCGATGTCCGCGTCGCCGTGGACCGCAACACGGGCTGGCCGCGCGGCTTTGCCCACGCCGACTTTGCCGACGTCGAGAGTGCCATCAAGGGGTACGAGAAGATCACGGGAGCCACACTGGGTGGCCGCGTGCTGCGTGTCGACTACTCCCAACCCCGTTCTCCTCCACGTGAAGGTCGTGAGAACCGTGAGGGACGTCGGCCATACCGCCGCTCGCAGACCCCCAGGGAGCAGTAAATCCCAAACGCAGAGGATGAGGGGTGTAGTTGAGGTGGTTCGGCCCGGTTCAGCCTGGTCAACCTAGTATTCTTGGTTTGGAGGCTTGGGGCTGGAAGCCGGCGTTCACGACTGGAGTGTTGCGCCTCCATGGGGCGGTGGCAAGCAAAACTGGGCTGGAGGAGAGACGAGGGAACGACTGTGTATATGTAGCAAATGTAGCAACATGCATAAAAGTGTAGAATAGCATCATCCATCTAATCAGGTTCTGGCGTTGGCATCGGCGGCGGTTCAACAAGAAGACGACTCCTTTCTAAATTTCCCAACTGACCGATCCAACTATGCCTCGCGTCCGTGACGGGCATTCCTCGCTTGCCAGTCTGACGATTGTGAGCAAAGCCTGTTTCCCGCGCATGCAGCAGTCGAGCTTGTCCTTCTTTCTTTCTTTCTTTCTTTCTTTCTTTCTTTCTTTCTTTCTTTCTTTCTTTCTTTCTTTCTTTCTTTCTTTCTTTCTTTCTTTCTTTCTTTCTTTCTTTCTTTCTTTGTGTTCTAGACCTGTTGAAGGTTGTAGGCCTGAGCCGGGCGGCATGGTGAAGTCTGGGGGCTGCGCATGTGACATGTGGGTGGTTCCATCCATCAGATCAGCAGTTGAAGATCGGTTGGGGAGGCATCCGGTGATATTATGCATATGCTGTGCCTGACTAAAGGTAGCCAGGCACGGGTGGTCCTCTGCACCACCAGTGCATATCTTCTTTCATTAGTATTAGCCACCTACCTGCAGGTTAGCCAGTGGATGCTGTGTGTGGGTGCTCTGTTTCGCATCTGTTCGGTTCCTCGTCGCGAGGCTCTGGATTCTATTGAGAAGGTTACCGAGCTAGGTACCTAGGCAGGTAGTTATGAGACTAACGATAAATGGAGTCTGGGGAGACTGGAGTCTGGCAGGGTCTGGGGGCAAAGGGGGACAAGAAACAAAAAAAGGGACTCGAGTCTCTCTCTCTCCTTGTCGCTGCCACCCGTTGGCCAAGTCCGCTAGCGGCAATGTTCACCCTCGGCACGGCGGCGGCCCCGCCAACGTCCCCAGTTTGCATTTGTCAAGCGGGCGCCGCCTGCCTGGACCTTTGGCATCTGAAGAACCAACTCACGCAGGACTGTACTTGGATCTGTCAACCTCTTTCCTTCTGTTGCACAAGGACCAAGCACCAAGCACCAAGCACCATCTCGGCGTTCGTCCTGTAGTAGCTCAGCAAGCAGACCCGATCCCGCAAAGCGCAGAGCGACCGGGGCGGGGAGGTCCATCCCTCTCTCAGGTCTCACTAAGCGGTCCACCGACCGTCCAACCCATCACCTCGCCTCGCCAACCCCGACGCCCATTGTCGCCATGTCCTTCATGGGCGGCGCCGAGTGCTCGACGGCGGGCAACCCGCTCAGCCAGTTCGCCAAGCACACCCAAGACGACCGCAGCCTCCAGCGCGACCGCATCGTCAATGGCGGGCCCCAAGGCAGCATGGGCGGCTTCCGGTCCGCCGCCGACCACGCTGCCCAGGACGAGATGCTCAACGGCTTCATGCAGCAGAACGGCCGCCTGCCCGACATGCCCCAGCACGCCGGCCACGTCCACCTCGACCACCCCGCACAGGGCGTCCACCTGCGCGCCAGCTCCGCCTCGCCTGCCTGGGCCGCCGAGTTCCAGCAGAACCCCCAGGCCGCCATGGAGGCCGCTTTCAAGGTGCCGCAGGGCACCCAGTTCGGCCCCGACGACTTTGCAAAGTTCCACCAGATGCAGCAGGCCAACAGCTCGTCGCACCGGTCGAGTTCCATGCCCCAGTCCATGGGCGGCGCCTACCAGCCCATGATGGGCTCCGGCATGATGAGCGGCATGGGCATGGGCTACGGCATGGGCGGCATGTACGGCGGCTCCATGTACCGGCCTCCGACACAGCAGCCGCAACAGCAGATGGACCCCAAGGGCAAGGGCAAGCTGGTCGAGCTCGATGACTCGACGTGGGAGGAGCAGTTCAAGCAGCTCGAGATCGAGGATCAGAGGGCCCGCGAAGAGGCCGAGCAGAACGCGGCCCTCGAGCCGGAACTGAACAAGCTGGACGAGCAGATCTTGGAGTCGGAAACAAACGAATTCGGCGACTTTGAGTCGATATGGAAGGGCATCCAGGCCGAGAAGGAGGCCAACCAGGAAGCTCTCGACGAGGACGAGTGGGTCAGCAAGTTCAACGACGAGAGCTGGAACAGCATGAACTGGGGCGACTCGAACGGCAGGTTGTTCGCAGATCCCCAGGTGGAGAATTACCTCTTCGAGGAGGACAACCTGTTCAAAGAGACAGGCAACCCCTTCGAGGAGGGCTTGCGCATCATGGAGGAGGGCGGCAACCTATCTCTGGCGGCCCTGGCGTTCGAAGCAGCCGTGCAGAGGAATCCCACCCATGTGGAAGCCTGGGTCCAGCTGGGAGCCGCACAAGCGCAGAACGAGAAGGAGACGGCGGCCATTCGCGCCTTGGAGCAGGCCAAGAAGCTTGACCCCAACAACGCGCCGGCCCTGATGACGCTGGCGGTTTCCTACACGAACGAGGGGTATGATAGCACGGCATACCGGACGTTGGAGCGCTGGCTCTCCGTCAAGTACTCATCCATAATCTCCCCGGCCGACCTCTCACCGGCAACAGACCTGGGCTTCACTGATCGCCAAATCCTCCACGACAAGGTGACCGAGCTCTTCATCAAGGCAGCCAACCTGAGTCCCGGCGGCGAGCACATGGACCCCGACGTACAAGTCGGCCTCGGAGTCCTATTCTATGGCGCAGAAGAGTACGACAAGGCCGTCGACTGCTTCAGCGCGGCGCTTGCCTCCTCGGAGCAGGGCTCCTCCAACCAGAGCTCCCAGGTCCACCTCCTCTGGAACCGCCTGGGCGCCACCCTGGCCAACAGCGGCAAGAGCGAGGACGCCATCGCCGCCTACGAAAAGGCCCTGACGCTGCGGCCCAACTTTGTCCGCGCGCGCTACAACCTCGGCGTCAGCTGCATCAACATGGGCTGTCACGCCGAGGCCGCCGGCCACCTGCTTGCCGCCCTCGAGATGCACAAGAACGTCGAGCACGAGGGCCGCGAGAAGGCCCGCGAGATCCTCGGCGGTCAGGACATCTCGGACGCCGAGCTCGACGCCATGACGACCCAGAACCGCAGCACCAACCTGTACGACACCCTCCGCCGCGTCTTCACCCAGATGGGCCGCCGCGACCTGGCCGAGAAGGTCGTCGCCGGCGTCGACCCCAGCGTGTTCAGGGGGGACATTGAGTTTTGATTGAGCTTCCAAGGCCATGTACAGCACGGCACCCACTTCCCGGGTACATAGCGCAACACGAATTGATATGAAATAAACATGATGACCGGCTGTATTTGTATCATCTTGTCCTTGTGCCGCATGTGTTTCGCCATGATATACCTCGCGGGAACGAGAACCTTGTGACATGATGCTTCCCCATGTGGCGGTTGTGGTGAGTTATCGATCAGAAAAGAGCAATGGGACGTCCGGGTCAAATCAAACCCCTCTCCCTTTACTATTGCTCGTTATCCTATCTCCTGTCAACCCCGAGACGGCTTGGACGATGGGGCAATATCCAGACCGAGAATACCTTTGTTGAGGCTAACAAGACATTGCCAACGAATCACTTGGCCGAAAGGTGTCGACCGTCCAGTGGTCTTGGCTTGCAGCAGGGGGAGGCCATGTTAGACGCAGGGCTGCAATTCCTCAGGTACGCCCTGGCAATGGTCCATACGCATGCATAACTAACAAAACTTGCAGAACGAACGTGGTGTTCTCTTGACAATAAAGTTGATTGGGTATCATGATGTCTCCATGACCACGATCGATCCTCCCTCGTGACTCGTGACTTTAGATTACATATGGTGACTCCTATACATGCCGCGTCACTTGGGCTCATTGCCAGCTATTCTTACTCTATGCCCTGACCACCTCAAGGCTTGCCTAAATCGAAACCTGGCCGGGTCAGCCTGGTGATGAGGTCTCATGCCAATGAAATGCACCCCAAGTCTTCGCTATTCATATTTCTCTTCATCAGTGTGAAGCGAGGCTGGCCGTCCACTGCGGATTTATACCCCCGTCTGAGCTGCAATTCCGAGGCGCAAGTCTTCTTCTCAGCATCGCTCATTTGACGCCGATGAAGCCGATACCGTTGCGCGCGATGCCAACGGCCTTCTTCAAGGCCTGGTCCTCTGCATCCGTCCATTTGACGCTCAGCTCGTCCCATTTGCTGCCAGGCGTGTTATACTCGCGCTTGAACTGGGCCTGCTGGGCCTGGAGCCGGCTCATCTCTCGAGGGTCTCCACTGCCGCTGAATATTACAAGGGCAGTGCAAGGCGGCAATCCTTCGTGTATGCGCTTGATCCGGGCAATCAGCCGTTGCAGGCAGGCCTCCAGAGGCGACACTGTTGACTCAGTGCCACTAGAGCCCGCGGGGTTCGAGATGTCGGGTGGTGCCAAGAAGTCTCCGTCGGGCCCTGATCGATTCCTATTCCACCAGCCTTGGAGAGCTTCCAGCTCGCGGAAGCGCGCAAAGACAAAGTCGGCCCCGCCGTACGGGATCTCTTCCGCGACCGGGTCGCCCTTGACGGCACGCAGCACACCCTCAACCACGTCATCGTCCGATTTGCAGCCTATTCTCCAGGTCGCTGCTGCTCCTGCCCCCTTCATGGGGTCACCCCAATCGACCATGACACTTGACTTGCCCAGGACCACGCCACCAGTCGCCTCAGCGCCTCCGTTGGCACGATACGAAGTGCCTTGACGGTTCAACCGACGAAACAAGTTCTCTCCTTGTTGCTCATGGTTTCCCCACGACTTGCCTTTGTCGCACTTCTGCTTGACCAAATCCAGGCATGCCTTGGCGTCCTCGATCGGGCTGTGTCCTTGTGAGCCTTTCTGGATCTCACGCTTGAGGAAGCGCTGAGACAGGAACTTCAAACTGTTCTTCAGAGGCGGTCCGCGAACGTGAGGATAGAGCAGTGCTGTATCAACAATAAAAGGGTGTGTAAGCTGCAATGCTTTCAGATCCGAGTCTAACGAGTGGCCAGCTAATATTGTGCGGGGGTGCAAAATCTCCAGAAGCTTCTTCTGTATGTCCTTCAAGGTGGTGGTGACGGGATCGAGCATTTGTTTAGTGATGCCCGAAAATTGAGTGACATAGTCGGTGATGGGCTTGTCAGGCTTGACCAGCTCATCTAGGACAACGGTTCCATCCCAACTCAGCAGACTAACTCTGGTGAGAGAGAATTGTGCAGGCCCGGTCATGCACATCTCACAGTCGAGGGCAATCACTTCACGGCCAGCCGTTATCGCGCCTTGCTCAATCTCAGACTCGGGTACGTCACCCTCGGACAAGTCCTGGACGTTGGTATGCACCCAGCCCTCGTCATCTTGGAACTCGGCGCGGCGCTCCGCAGAGTCTATGAGGGCGGGGTGCAGCTTATAGCCGTTTGGCACAAAATCCTCGGGCTGGGCCAGATACTCGGTAATCCTGGTGCGCTGGTCCTTCCAGCCATTGGGCTCCCTTGCTGGCTGAACACCATGACCCTTGCGGTTCTTCTCGTCTGGAGACTTGTCCTGGGGTGCCGTAAGCATGGTTCCCAGAGGGGAGCGCATGTTGCCGAATTTCTCGTTGCCGGGGGTCTTGATGGGCCATAGGTGGGGGAACATGTCGGCGAAGGGCTTCAAAACTTCTGGCAGCTCTTCGCTCTTCAACAGGCGCGGGTAGTAGTCATCTGGAGAAGTCATGACGCGGGGCTTTCCCGAATCTCTCGGCTGGTCGTCGTAGGTGGCAAAGTCGGCATCGGGCTTGAACATGGCCTCCTCCAGGCCGGGGACCATGAGCGTGACGATCTTCCTGAACTGCGGGCGATGGCTGATGGAGACCCAGTTCGGCGCGGTCCCCTCTGCGAAGATATAGAGGATCAGGTTTCGCAGCTGGTCCAGGGAGACCTTGGCCTGAAGCTTTGCATTGTAGTTGAAGGTGATGGAGGGGTAGTTGGACGAGTCGCTCTTGGGGATCTTCTTGGCCTTCTTCTTGGACCTCCGGGTTTCCACCTTCTGCCAACCTTCGTCATTGCCTGCTTCTTCTTCATCATGGGGCCTGGCACGCTTGAGGTTGTTGTTGCCGATGTCGTCTGCGCCGGCTGCTGGATTGGCCGTCGTCGCTATTGCGCCGACGAGAAGATCTGGCTGGACGGCCACGGACGGCTCGGCGGACAGTTCGGGGTTGAGATGGTAGCTCTTGGGGATGGCAGCCTCTGGGTTGCTCGCGACCGCTTCCTGGACAGCAGCGAGCGCATTGGCAATGCTGGCGGCGGTGGGTTCGTCCATCGCGGGCCTGTCGTAGTTGAGAGCTGGAGCACGCGACGACGAATGCAAAGAAAATCGGCTGCGAAGTAAAGATTTACGTGACAGGGATTAGCTCCAGCAGATCACGTCTACTGTAAGTTAGCGGGTTGGCTGGCTGGCTGGCTGGCTGGCAACCGTAGGGAACCCCCCACTGCGAGCCGCAACCTTATGTGGGGGAAGGCTGGGGGGTGCACGCTGAGGCTCAACCGAACAACCAAGACGCCCAGTGCCGCGAGTTTCCTTCAATCCATACACCAGCGGCCGCCATCAGTTGGCGTGGTGACCGCACTGCGGTCTACATCCCTACATAAGTAGATACATAGACATGTATTTTTCTACAGTGACCTAATCGAGATACACGGGCAGGATTGTGATTATGGACCGGCATCGACGAATGTTATTTACGCCTGGTTCTGATAAGTAGTACCGCCAAACTAACACTCTATACTCTATCAACGTCCAGCCCTTTCACCCACTCCGGATTGCAGAAGAGCACTGTCATGCATCGTCGCGAGACTACTTTACAAAGTTCATGGCATGCGGTGATATGTCTCTTTGACGATGTGCCAGCTCTCACCTAAAGCCATGGGAACTGTAAAACAACGGCTATGGTGCTGTACACAAGAGATTCAACCGCATCATTTGATCCGCCTCAACAAATCTGCACGCAAGTCCGACCCGCCGAGATTTCTCTCAATCTATTGCATTTATCTGCTCGTCAGAAGGGCCTGTCCGGGCCCAAACTCCGCGTCCATGATCTCTAGAGCGAAGCTGGCCAACTTGTCGACTGGCTTCTGAACAGCATACTCGAAGAACATCTGCGCCTCCGCATCATTATGATCACGCGCCCATCGTCTGATGAGCTCCCTCTCTTTCTGACGTCCACGAAGGCTTTCTATATCCCTGAGCTGAAAGCTGCCTTCTTGGAAGGCCTGCGAATCCTCCGTGTGAAACATTGGCGCCCATCGCACGAAAATGGCCAGGATAGCCTGTGTCATGGTGGCCTGATCCATCTCACTGAGAGCCTGCACGATTCTTTCCCTCAGTGAGCCGGTCGCGGCTGGCACTTTCGAGCCAGAAATCGGTGCTGTGTTGCTCAAAAGGTTGGCTATCATGAGCAGCCCCGTTAGCCTTGAGGGGCTGAAGGGCAATGGGTATTTGAACGCATCGCTGGTTATAGCCAAGAAGCAACAGATAGCCAATGCAAAGGGGTGATCTTCGCGCTCGCCGAGAACTATGCTCGCTTCTCCCATGACTTGGGGCAGAGGTTCTATCGCGAAAAGCTGCGCAGCGCGGAGCGGTTCGCAAAGTTGCCACTTTTTCCGGATGACTGCAGTCGGGTTTTCGGAAGTTTCTGAGCTGCTGAGGCGTGTAGAACAGAGGGGGTAGATCTCCTCGAGAAGCCTTGCCAAATCCTTGTTGGATGAGAGTAGTCCTTGACTAGGGTTGTTGCGAAGTGTGCTTAGATCCGAGTTAAGACTGCAGAGGTTGAGTTCTACAGGGTAAGACCGACACACTTGATAGACATCCAGATCATCCTTACATCTCGGGCATGCACAATCAAAGTGCCACCGCTCCCCGAGAGTGAAATGTCTGTGTGATCTATGCAAGTTACAGTCTGGATACCATATATGAGTAAGTTGAGTTAGGTTTATATTGGGAGCTTACCTATATAAGAGATTTCGACCTCTTCGCCCTCCTTGATAGCTCTGTAGGCATGAAGAGAAGCTTTTCTGCCTGCGAACTTAACGAAAGCGTTCGGTACACATGAGTGGTTCACCATAGCTAGCGCCGGGTTGACGAAGATCCCTGAATCCCCAGTGTCTTCGTCTTCTCTGTTGAACGAGTTGACTTGGAGCTATTCCCGCTTCTCAGTCAGTGGCTATCTTTCAATCTTTCAACAACACCCACACTCTTCACTCGTCCACCATCTGAATCAATGCGCCAGGTATCAAACAGACATACCTTGCAAAGCAAATCTATTGCCTCGTTGACGCTCTGTGGGCTCGCTTCCCGTCCGAGGTAGTGCATCGCCGCCAGGGCTTGGAGTTCCATGTCCCGCCACTCCTCTTTCTGGGCGCGAAACCCTTCAGTGTGTGCCTCCATCTCCTGAACTGCAGCCGCCATATCTGTCCTCAAGAGCATGTGTACCAGAGCTCGTACTCCAGTGGGAAGAAAGTCGTGGCCCTCTGCCTTTACGCGCTTGAAGACCTTGCATTCACCCTTGTGCACGAGTTTCCAGTCTGCTTTCTGGCATACCGGGCTACAATAAGTCGCCGTGCGGCAGCCAGTGCAGGCACGAACGGGGACTTCGGGTCCGGCCAAACAGTAGTTGCATGTCAGATGGAGGCATGGCGAACTCGGAATCGTGATGCTGGGCTCGTCAAAGACGGCTATCACCCCGCCGGGGCCAATCGCGCGCTGTGTGGTGAGCGAGCGGCCCCGCGGAGTGCTAGCTGAGCCAGCCAGCATAAGTCCAGGTGGTAATTTCATGATTGCGATTGGTTCTCAACTATTCGATGTCATCAAAGCCATATACAACGGAGAAGAAATTTTCGTCTTTCCCGGGCGGACGTTGATTATGGCGAAGATGAAAAGCATGGCTGCTATGATTTTTTTTTGGGTGGCCTAATGCGCAACGGGGAACTGCAAGGGCAGATTTAGATCGCTGTTTAGTGGCAACACAACAATACGATCTGTCAAGCGAAGGAGACATACACGCATATAATCAAGAGCTGGCTGATCTTTGCAAGGTCTTATCGTCCTAAGTATATAATTACCGGCGATGTGCTATGCACAAGCCGGAGGCGGTCGCAACTTACGGATGTCAGTAGCCTCTTCTCAGTACCAAGCCCCAGTGGCTTGGGGCTCCGTGAAATCCTTCTCTATCCCACCTGCCTTTTCCGGTAGTGTCCTAGCCATGTCGGTATAGCTGAGACCGGGCACAGGAACACAGGCCATTACAGTTGATTATAGTAGGCGGGGTATGCCCAAAACAGTGCTGCCTCGAGGCCGGTGACTCACCACGGCGTGTGGCACGTAGGCGCGCGGCAAGGTTGAGCATCCGCCCATGGATATGAATACAACGCGGAGACACGTTTGCAGGAGCTTTGCTGGTATAGATCATCAAGCTCGATTGACTCACCTCCGGCCACCACCTAAAGCTATGCCATTGGAAATTCAGCCGGCAACCGAAGCCGACATTCGTCGGGCTGTGGAACTTGAATTCAAGGCCTACGGCCCAAACCCGTTCAGTGCAATCTTGTTCCCTGGTCCTAAGCCTGATGGCGATACGATTGGGACCAGGGCTGAGTACCTCACCATGCAGCGCAAAGGGGATGCCACTACGCGTTGGTCCAAGGTCATCGATACGGACCTGCCGCAGGATGAGCAAATGATCGCATTCTCGAAATGGCACGTCTACACTGAGAAACCTCAACTTACGCCACGGGAGTTTGGGCCAGAGTGCAACGTCGAGGCTTGCCAGAAGCTCTTTGGGGGAATACAACAGCAGAGATTCAGAATTCTGGGGGACAGGCCATATGTTTGTAAGTTGCACCCCTTGTCTTGCGAATGCAGGAAACAAGATTGGTGGTGGTAGATGGCTGCTACCAAGGAGACTGATACGAGCTCAGACCTACATATGCTGCATACTGATCCAGACCACAAAGGTCGGGGTGCCGGGACACTATTGATCAAGCAGGTCTTGGAGGAAGCACAGAGACGAAACTTGATGGCCTACCTGGAATCGTCTGAGGCTGGCCACTCTTTATACACTGGGTGTGGTTTCAAAGACGTCGAGCTGCACGAGGTCGATATGAGTAAATGGGGTGCTACAGAAACTCACAAAACTTGGGCCATGGACTGGAAACCCGAGCAGAAGTAGACTGATCGTGAGAGTCTCGAATGGGAAGTCATATACCGTAGAGACCGCTCTCATTGCCTGTCTGATACACATACATTGCAGATTGGCTGCCTCTTGAGGATGAGACTGACATTGAGTAACCAACGCTACTGAGAAGCTTAGACCTGCTTTGTACAAAGTTAGAATTCACCCTGCCTCTAAGTGAAAACACAACTTGCTCCTTAGTTTCGCAATCCGCAGCGCAAATTCGCCCTCGAAACCTGTGTCGCAGATCTAGTGCAGCTATGAAGGAAATGTGGATGCCTGGTAGGTAGGTAATAGATTCACGTTCAATACCTGCGGGGCCTGGAAAAGAACGCCGACCTAGGTTCGCAGCGCTATTCAAATACCAAACCCAAACATCACCGTATCCAAATCAAACACCCCC